ACTCTGCTGGCCTTCCCCCTCTACTCGGCCTGGGATCCCTCCCGGAAGCGGTGATCCCTCCTTTGTGTATTTAATTTGGAGTCCAACAAATTGCCATTCAAAGTGCATCGTTCCCATTTCCTAGCTCTTTGTGACCCTGCGTGGTTTCAGAACCCCTCTGAGTTTTAGATGCCTCCTTTGCCATATGGAAGTAATAGTTAATACTTCTTTCTGCTAGGGCTAGATTTTTTTTTAATTTTTTGAAAAAGATTTTATTTATTTGACAGAGAGAGAACACAAGCAGGGGGAGCGGGAGAGGGAGAAGCAGGCTTCCCGCTGAGCGGGGAGCCCGATGCGGGGCTTGACCCCAGGACCCTGAGATCATGACCTGAGCCGAAGGCAGATGCTTCACGACTGAGCCACCCAGGCGCCCCGGGCTAGATTTCTTTTTATTCTTAGTTGTATCTGTATTGTTTCAATTGTATTTGTTTTTGGGAAAAATATGTTCACCTGGCTCAAAATTTTAAAAAATACAAAATATACAGGGGCGCCTGAGTGGCTCAGTCTGTTAAGTGTCTGCCTCTGACTCGGGTCATGATCCCAGGGTCCTGTGATCGAGCCCCACATCGGGCTCCCTGCTCAGCAGGGAGCCTGCTTCTCCCTCTCCCTCTCCCCCTGCTTATGCTCTCTCTGTCAAATACATAAATAAAATCTTTTAAAAATTACAAGATAGGGGCGCCTGGATGGCTCAGTCGTTAAGCGTCTGCCTTCGGCTCAGGTCATGATCCCAGGGTCCTGGGATCGAGCCCCGCGTCGGGCTCCCCGCTCAGCGGGAAGCCTGCTTCTCCCTCTCCCGCTCCCCCTGCTTGTGTTCCCTCTCTCGCTGTGTCTCTATCAAATAAATAAATAAAATCTTTAAAAAAAATTACAAAATATACAAAAGAATACATATACAACAGAAATTTCCTCCTAAGCTGATTCCTTTTTACCTTTCTTGCCCTCAAATATACCCAAATAGTATCTCTTTTTACACGTCTGGTAGACACTTCAGTAAATAGCATCTATTGCGGACCTCCTATGTGTGCTTCCCATGGTTATTTCACTTAATACTCACAGCCACCCTCGAGGTAGACGGGGAAACAGGCTCATTGACAAGAAGACACTTGCTTGAAGCTGTATCTCTGGTGAGCAGTAGACCCAAGATAATGTGTGTCCGTTTATTAAGTGCCTGCTATGTGGCAGGCCCCTAGGATTCTCCCAGACCTGGGACATTCAACAAATACTGAGTGCCCTCATCTTTTGCTCACTGGGCCTGGTGTTGGGTTACAACAGTGGGGAGGACGGCTCAGCCCTCCCAGAGTTGGTATTCCAGTGGAGATGACTCGTCGCTGTCACCCAACTTCCCGGTAAGGAAACCAAGGAACAGAAGGGCAAGAAACTGCTGAATCATAAGGTGGGAAGAAAAGAGGGAGGAGGGGGCGCCTGGGTGGCTCAGTAAGTTAGGCGTGTGACTCTTGATTTCGGCTCAGGTCATGATCTCAGGGTCCTGGTATGGAGACCCATATGGGCTCTCTGCCCACTGGGGAGTCTGCTAGTCTCCCTCTCCTTCTGCCCTTCCCCCTGCTCACTCTAAATTAAAAAAAGAGCTAGGACAGACCCGCTTCACTGGTGGGGAAATTGGGGCACAAAGAAGGGGAGGGCCTTTCTCAAGGGCACCCAGCTAGCGGCGGCGGATCCGGGAGTCAGGGCGCTCACAGGCTGGACGTCCCCGTAGGGCCCGCTTGGCCCCTCCCCATAGGGGGCGGTCCCCGGTCGGCCCCGCCCCCGGCGCTCGCGGCCGCGTCCCTGGCAGCCCCGGCGGCCGTTTCCTGCCTGCGTCGCTGGGCGGGCGGCCGGCCCATCTGGCGGCCCCCACGGGGCGGCGCGGGGAGGCGGCCCAGACTCGCTGGAGCCAGGCGCCGGCCCGCGCCCCCCGCCCGCCGGGAGAGCCCAGGTGTGGCCGCGGCGGGGGTGGGGGTGGTGCCTTCCTTCCCGCTCGGCCCTTCCTGACGCACCCGGGCAGGATGCAGCCTCCGCCTCCCAAGACCCGGCCTGGAGTCGCGGAGGGAATCCCAGCGGTGGGAAAGCCTGATGGGTCGGAGCAGCCCCCCGTATCCACTCCTTGTGGGACCCTGGGCAAGGCTCGCCCTTTTTTTGGGGGGTGCTCAGTCTTCCCAACTGTGCAATGACAGATGAGCTCTGACCTCCTGGATCTCGCAGGCTTTCGCCTTGCCTCCCAGGGACCCCAAACCAGACTGTGGAACCCGGAGGCACCACTCCTGCCCCAAGTGTTGACATTTTTCACTTATTCAGCCATTTCAAGTCTGTTTTCCCCTCACTGTTTCAATCGGGAGAGCGCGCTTGACCTGTGTTCCCCGCTCTGCCCAGCGACTTGACCGGTGCCCAACTCATTCCTGGTGTTGAGGCCTGAAAGGGTGTATCTCGAGGCTTTACCCGGAGAAGTTGGAGCCGCGCTGGGAGGGTCTTACCCATTTCACAGCGGAGGAAACAGGACAGAGCGGGCAGGCCCCTCCAGCCACAGTGCGGCAAGCCGGCCCTGCTCCGCCAGACGCTGACCCTGTTCTCCCGCGCTGCTCCCGAGAGACGGAACCCGGAATCCAGCAGCCTGACTTATGCCAAACAGCACCTGTGGTGAACATCGTGGTCTTGGAAGCCAGGCATCCTGGGTTCAAATCCCACCCCCCGGCACTTAATTCTCTCTGCTGCAGTTTCCCTTATCTGTAAAAATGATGGTACTACCTTACGGGGTTGTTGTAACGACTGAATAAATACTTCTAAAATACATATTGCTAGAAACACGTTAAATACAAATGAAGATGTATTAGGGCTCTCAGCAGGGCTGGTCTTCCCCCTTGGAGCCCCCTTCCACCTCCTGGAGTCAGGGGAGCTTGAGGCCAGAGAGGAACACCTAACAAATCAGGGGCAGAACTTGGGGATTTTGGAGCGGTTTCCCAAGAATCCACCCCACCCTGGGGTGAGGCTGGCACCAGGCCCACCCAGAGCCCTGCCCAGCCACCCACCCCCACCTCTCCGGCGTGCAGGCCCAATCCGTGCCCGGCCTGGTGCCATTTTTCCATGGGACTCTGGCGGTGGCGGTTCACATCTGGAGTCTAGACTCGGAGGCTCTGCGGGCCGGGCCTACCGCCCGGGCTGGGCCACCGCTGCCCGCTGTTTGCTCAGCTGAAGCTGGTTAATTGGAATTAGAGTGGCCTCTGCGGTGCTGGCTGGCCGGGCGGGCCCTGGATGGCCGCTGCCGAGGTCTGTGGAACATCTGGCCGGGCCGGGCCGGTCATTAGGTGGCAGGCGCCCGGCGCCACTGCCACCTCAGCCTCCGCCGGGGGCCGGCGGTGACTCAATGAAGCCTTTGTGGGCCCTGGGCCGCAGAGCCAACCATGCTGTGTGCCTGGGCTGCCTGCCCCATCTGCTGCCCTCACAGGGGCCTTGTTCCAGGACCACATGGCCTCCCCTCCGGAGGCGGCAGGAGTCGGCGGCGATCCGAGAAGCCCCTGAAAGGGACCCCCCTGGCTGGGAGAAATCTTTGAATTTTCCTACCCTTCCCTTCCTTCTCTATAGGCCCAGAGACGTTGGGGTGGCTGTCTCAAAGGTGTCCAGAACACCAGCCAGTGACTCAGGCCCAGGGGTCTAGAGGGGAGCTGCACAGTCCTTAGGAACTTGAGAATTCAACGTGGATTGCTTGAGGTCAGATCCACATCTGTGGCAATCCACCTCAATTGTCTCATTTGCACAATGGGGCTCATACCAGCACCTGGAGCCTAAGACTGAAATGAGGTGAAATCCTCTATTGAGGTGCTTGGGAACAATTTAATACCTAGTGAGATTATTACACGGATACTTACCATTCTCTGCTCAGACTTGTCTTTTGGCCACCTCCAAACTGTCTGGAAACCACTGTTATTTTCAGCCTTTGAACCTGAAGCTTGGGCAGGAGAGAGCCCTGGGTTGGGAGCTGGAGGCCTGAGTCCCAGACTGGTGGTCATCCCCTCCCACCTGTCTCTCCACCCAGTGACCCCACACCAGGCAGGTGGATAAGGGCTGTGCCCACACCTCGCCTGGTCCCCTGGGGATTCTCCTGCAGGCCAGGGCTGCTTGCTGTCTCCAGCAAACTTGCTCTGGGCCCCATCCCTTCCCACTCCAGCCTCAGAGGCCCTGGCCCTTGTGCTGTGATTGGCCTCAATGTGTGGAGGGGGTGGCTTCTAGCATCAGTATCCTTCTGGCCTTGCATAGTCATTTTGGGAAGAACCATAGGAATAAGCAGAATAGGAATGATGGGGCCTTGATCTCCAGGGTGACCTAGAGTCCACGTGCTCTCCAGCTGAAGCCATAAAGACCTGGCTCCTGCCAGCCTGGGAATAAAATCTAAATTCTTCCCTGGGATCCATGAGGCCCTGCCCATTTCTCTAGCTTTACAGATACTGGTCCCCTTGCTGAATCAGGTCAGCTTTTTGGTACCCCGCCTTGCCGCGCTGGGGTAGGTGGATGATACATGGAGCACCTGTCAAACTGCCTCACCGCCCCCAAGGGTTGGGAGGAATGTGAAGAAAACTGAATGGGGAGGAAGGGGGAAATGAAGGAGGGCTCGTGGGCCCCCTCTGCTGGCTAGAGGCAGCCCTGGAGTGCAGAGCTAGTCAGCCACTAGGTGGGCATCCACGAGGATGGACGGACCTGGATGGAGGTCAGGGCCTCTCCCCGAGGTTGTGAGTTCACAGTCCCCAGGAAGGGGCTTCCAGGAAGTTTCTGAGTGGGAGGGTGAGAGCTAGTAAAGGCAATGAAAGATGCCGGGTGCACAGAACCTCTCCAGGGGCACAGTGGCCTGCCTGAACAATGGGGTGACTGTTTTTTTTTTCTTTTTTTAAGTGGGCTCCACACTGGGCATAGAGTTCAAGCCCCAACCATGGGGCTTAAACTCACAACCCTGAGATCAAGAGTCGGACACTTAACCGACTGAGCCACCCAGGCACCCCTGGGATGAATTTTTAATGTAAGGCAAAGTCAGTCCACAATACAAAAATCTAAAAATCAGATCCACTTTTCCCGCCTGGCATCTGGGAGGGTGAGGGAAGTTGGGGCTGCTTCTGCCTGCAGGGGATGGGAAGGGGCAGAGGAAGGCCAGGGAAGGACGACGAAGGGACCAGGCCATGGGAGGCCCCGCTGGAGGGATCCTGTTGCCCCCGGCCCTCTCCTGAAGCTGCCCGGCCTCCCGCACCCTTGGCCTCCGATGCCCTCTGCCAGCGCAGGCCTCTGCTGGCCTGCCCCCGCCTGCCTGGCCTGGCCCCCGGAGGGTCAGGCCCCAGCCGTATCACTTCTCCTTCTTCTCCAGCCCCTTTGATGCCGAGGCCTCTGTTCCCTCTTTGGATCCCTCTGTCACTGCTGCTGCATCCTTAGGATTTGACTCCTCATAACTGACCAAAAAAAAAAAACACAAAACAATAAGAACAACACCTTTAGAGGAGTGGGAGAGCAGAACTTCCAGGCCCCGCCTCCCCGCCATCCCAGGAAAATCCCTGGGCACACGAGGAACACCAGCCTGGCATTCATGGCCCAGCATCTTCCAGGACTTGGCCCCGGCCCCACTGTATGCCATTTTCAGACAGGTGGCTCTCCTTTCTTTGTGCCTGGTGGTGCCAAGAGGTGGTAAAGGGCAGCGGCAGATGGAGGAGAGGTTGGGCTTGGGTGGATTAACTTTAAGCTTCTTGGACCTTCCACTGGAGAGAGTGGGGAAGAAAATGCGGCAGGCAGGTCGAAGCTACGGGAGAGGGGCTGCTTCCCAGGGTGCATGGCAGGAGTCAAACAACTCAGCCCCAAGGGTGCAGGCAGGCAGGGGGTTGTTCTACTGGCAAGTGGCAAGGTGCCAATCTAGAAGGCCGCCACCCTGGCTTAGCTCTTGCTATGGGCCCTGTTTATTGAGCAACTGAGTTCACACCAAGGATGGTACCCGTATCTCTTCCCCAGGTCAACCCCAAGAGACAGGAATGTGCCCACTCAGACGAACAGAGAGAGGCTCCGGAAGAGGAAGGTGATCTGTCCAGGGTTTTATAGAGAGGCCAGCCGTAAGAGTATCTACTCCTGGATGACAAGGGCTGCTGCTATCTGCTCTCTCACATGAACCCCACACCACTGGTGAGGACAACGAGGTTCTAGAGCCCTGCTCCTGGCCCTGAGGCGGGGTGCAGTGACTGCCTGGTGACCATGGAGGAGGCACCACTTGCTGCCTGCCCCTAGCAATGCTCCCTGCCCCGTCCACTGGAGCTGGGGTGTCTGCCCTACCTTGGGCCCTGGGGCAGTGGGGGGGAAGCAGGCAGGTGGGCACCTGCCGGGCATTACATGGCGCTGGGATTCTGCGGGCGCCGGCGGCGAGGGCCAGCTAGCTTCTGTTGCATGGAGTCGGCCAGGCTGGCTGGGGAGCCCGAGACTGTGGGGAAGTGGGTGAGCCTCGGGGTGTGAGGCAGGATTTCCGCCGAGGACTCGTAGCTGTGTGAGAGACAGAGAGACAGAAAAAAAAGAGATGGAGAGGAAAAGACTGGGGGAGGGGACTGGGGGGAGCAGGGACAGAGACTTCTCTTGCAAGGAGCAGGGCGCAGAGCTGTGTCTTATTTTTATATTCCTCTGCATTTTCAGACACAGTGGCAAAGAAGCCGGACTTACTGGTGGATAAAAAAGATGCACCTGTACAAAGGGACACTATGCAGCTGTGCAAAAGAACAAGGATGTTCTAATGTACAGGTGCTGCTGCAGAAACATCTCTGACATCTACTGTTTGTGTGAAAAATCCAGATGCAGAATGTTCTGAGAGTGCCTCCATCTGTGCAGGAGCACGCACGCGCACATGTGCTGTTGGGAGCAAAGCCGTCTCTGAATGTGTGACCAAGCTCTGGGGTGGCTGGGGCGTGAGGGGGTTTTCCCTCTCCCGGCTATGAAATTTTGAGCCATGTGAGTACGTGAGCCAAGGGAATTAAAAAAAAAAAAAGAGAGCACCTCTCAAGGGAAAAGTAAAACAAAAGGTAAGGTGGAGAATTAGGGAGAGAGATGAAGAGAGAGACCAACCTGATTTTTCATCTCAACCCGAGAACCTCCTGGGGGCAGGGCCAGAAAGGGGCGCAGAGTCCCTAAGTGTAGAACATTTAAGGAAAGCAAGCACTGAGCAGGTGCCCTGGCTCTGGAGGGGCAGAGCTTGACCCAATGTGGACCTAACAGGACTGGGATTGATGGGGGAGATGGTTACCCCAAGGCAGCGGGGTGGCTGAGAATGGATGAGCCAGAGGGTGAGGGTAGGTGCTGAGCTCAGGGATCAGATAGCACCCCTGTCCCCAGATCTGCCCCCAAGTTCATCCCCCAGCCTGGCTGCAGAGTCCACAGGGCTTTGCCAGCCAGGAGCTATGGGCAGGCAGCTTGGGAGCCTGGGGCTTCTAGGCAAGGCAGGGAGGGCATAGGCAGGGACGGGGGAGGGGTGAGTCACAGGTTCCCCTGCAGGCAGCCAGGTGCACAGACAGCCCTGGCAGGCACTCGAGGGCCAACCTGGGGCCAGGCAGGGGGAGCGGGACGGAAGGCCCCCGAGTGGGCAGCTTCAATCGCAGCTGGAAGCTATTTCTGGGTCCCTGGCAGGCGGGGTCAGTGGTGCCAGGGAGCAGACACCTGTCGGAGTCACGCAGGCCTTGGGGTATGGGTGGGGCTGTGCACAGGGTGTGGCAGCTGTGCATGTGGCCATGGGGAAGGGGTATTGAGTGCAAGTGAGCCACTCGCTCTGAGACAGAGCTGTGGGTTGGAGCCGCTGGGGCGGCTCAACGGGGGCGGATCCTTGATTCCCAATCTGGAGCACCTCCCACCCCCCCGAGGATCCTCCCTGTTACTCACATGGGAAAGCTGTGGCTGGGAAAGGGAAAGACTTGCCTGAAGTCACACGGCGGCACAGTCAGGCTGGGAACCCAGGGCTCCTGACAGTGGGGCAGCCTGGGGTGGGAGGGAACTACACTGGCCAGTCCCTTCCAAAGACCCAGCAGGCATCTGGATGTGGGGGCTGCCCTCCCCTGGCTCCCAGACCTGCAGAAAGGTTCCTGCTGGTGCCACAGGCCAGGCACCCACGTGCTGGCAGAAAGGACAAGGGGTGGGGCTGGCGGCGGGAACAATGTTCCCCCGGAGACGTGCACAAGCAGCCCTGGCAGGCTCCACGAGCTGCCCGCAGGTGCACCTGCGCCATGCAGATGTCTGCCCCCTGCCCTGCCTTACCTGAACATCTCTGTCACTTCCCCCTTGGCCAGTGCCACCAGGACAGGAAAGCCGATGCAGGCGGGGACCAGGTACAGAAGGGCAGGCTGTGAGAGAACAGAGCTGGTGACCAACTGCTGGGCAGCGCACCTGCTCAGGGCCATGCCCATCACTCCAACCCTCTCCAGGGTGTGACTGACCGACAATGACTGCCCAGGTTCCCAGAGCAAGTCAGTGGGTGCCTGGGCCCACACCTGGGGCTCCTGACTCCCTGAGCAGGGCTGCTCCTCCCTGGGAGGGAATGCAAGGAACCCAAACAAAGTCAAGCATGCAGGGCTTTAAGGATACCCCGGAGTCTGGCTGGCAGTATCCTAATCACCTGGGACATCAGGTTCAAACAAGCAACCTCCTGGGTCAGTCCCATTCCCAGAGATTCTGCTTCCCTAGTCTGCGGGTGAAAGTTTGCACCTTTAACGAACGCTCCAGGAGATGCTTTTAGATGCCGTTACAATAAGACGACCTAGGCAGTCTGGCTCTAGACCCTGAGCGGAGCCTCCTGGTGAAGCTGGGTTTGGAGGACAAGATGGTGCACCTGCTGCGTACACTACCCTGAGCAGAGCCTCCTGAGAACTTCCATCCATCTCTATATCCCCTGTGACCATTCTCCTTGTTCACACGAGGAAGGCTGCTGCTCTGAGAGGAGAGGGGACAGCGCAGGCCTCAGATATCTAAATGGTCAACTGCGGACTGGATCTCAGGCATATCGGACTCTAAAGCTATTCCTTTCCCTGCAGCATCTGAAAGCTGGACATTACTGTTCAGCCCTCCACGACCCCCAATGTCCCAGTGGCCTGAAGCCCCCATGAGATATAACCCTGCTTCCTTCTTGTCCTACTCCTGCCTCCTACTCTGGAGGACCATGTTTTGGCCCTCCTTGTCACCTCTAGCCACAGGACCTCTGCACGTGCAGTGTCTGCTGCTTGTCACGCTGTTCCCATCTCTGCCTAGACTCCTCCTCCTTTGGGCCTCTGCTCTGCTGTTACTTCTGTAGGGAAGCCTTCCCTGGCAGGGAGCCAGGCCCTCTTGCTGCCTACTCTCAGGGCCCCCTGCCATCCCCTGCAGCATTCGCCAGCAATCTGGAGCGGGACATCGCTCTGCCATTATAGACTTCAGTCTCTCTGCTGCTAGGCTGTGAACTTCATGAGGGCAGGGTCCACGGCTGTCTTGGTCACTGCTCTATTCCTGGCATTCCGAAGAGGGCCTGGTAAATACTAAGCAAATGGCTTCTTCATGGGTGCTCACAAGAGGGTGTCTGGGAGATGACTGGAGTAAGGGTGAGGAGACCTCACTCCTAAGGCGGGTGAGGTCAGAGAACAGGGCTCCAGAGCTCACCAAGCCTGACCTTCCGACCATTTCTTGGCACCTGCCACGTGTGGCCTGTGAACCACACCACTTCATACATACTACCCTTCGAAGCTAAAAACACAATCTGAGTTCTACGATGATGCTCCTGAGGTTTAGATAGGGGGAAAGGAATCGCCCAAGGTCACATGCGGTGTGTAAAAGTGGCTGAGCTTCTTCCGCTGTATCAGGTATTTGCTATGAGTTAGGCTTTGGGTTAAGTCAGGCTTTAGGTCTTTTGGAGGGCGATAGAAAGGACAATGACAAAAGTCTACCCCAAACATGTGAGTGGCAGTCAAAGGAGTACTCAGAGGGAAATTTATAACATAACTCTAGATGCATGTATTAGAAAAAGACTTGAAATAATCTCAGCTTTCAATTTAAGAAGCCAGAAAAAGAATGACACCAAAAAGCAGAAAGAAAATAATGACGGCAAAAGCAGAGATCGATGAAACAGAACAGAAATGAAACAAATATAAACTTGTTAGAATTTAATTTCTCAAAAGGCCTCCTCATACCCACTTTACAGACGAAGAGACTGAGAATCAGAAGAGGCGAAGGACTGTCCTCCCCCACACAGTTGGCCAGGATGTGGGTCTTGGTGCGTCTGTCTCTAAGTCCTCATCAAGACCAGACCAGGCAAAGAAGAAGGCTTCCCGAGGCAGGTGAGGGGAAGGATGGTACACGTTTAGCTTCCCCAAGGCCTGCCTTGAGAGCCAGGAACCACTGAAGGGCTGCTGTGGGGGGCAGCGAGGTTGCTATTATCAGAGGACTATAAGTTCTTTTCTTTCCTCTCAAGGAACCAGGGGACCTCTCCAAAGTCAGTGCTGTGGAGAGGCTGGGACGTACAGCTTGGGACAGCAAGCTGGGCGTCAGGGTTCCTGGCTTTCCACCCAGCCTTGGCTCGGCTCTGTGACCCTCACTAAACTGCTTCCCTCTCTCTGTACAATGAGGACACCTGATCATCTTGAAGGGCCTTTCTAGAAGACTGCCAGACCTCTGGCTTGGAGTGGGTTTTTTAAAACAAGATTTATTTATTTGAGAAAGAGACAGAGAGCGAGCGAGAGAGCGCATGCGAGTACAAGTGCAAGGGGAGGGGCAGGAGAGGGAGAGAGAGTCTTAAGCAGACTCCACGTTGAGCGCGGAACCCGATGCGGGGCTCGATCTCACAACCCTAAGATCACAACCTGAGACAAAACCAAGAGCAGGACACTTAACCGACTGTGCCACCCAGGTGCCCCTGGAATGGGTTTCTGATAGAGGCTCCATGAGTTGACGATCACATAACCAGTGGTGACTTCCACCTATGGAATTGCTGGCACTGGGACTGCCTGAGTCTTGGAAAGGAAGAGGGTCCTCAAGGAACAGGTTCCCCTGGTGTCCTGCATCCTCTTTCCAAGATTTCCAGGGAGATGCCCAAGTGGATGATGGGACAATGGCTGGGCTGCCGCTGGGGAGTAGCACCGGCCTGGGGCCAAGGGTGAGGAGTCCAGGGCTCCAGCTGGGGCCTACCTCGACTTGCTGCGTGACCCAGGAAGACTCCTATTCTCTCTGGGCTACAGTGTCCCACAGTGTCCCCACACAGAGGACCACTTCTCCAGCCAGTGTGGGAGCTCCCAATGGGATCCTCGGAGTCTAGCCCAGGCAGAGGGCAAGGCTGCCACCTGGTGGCCTCTGGGGGAATGGCTCTCAGATTGGAACATAACAGGGCTGGGAACAGAGACTTCCCAGAGGCCTCTAAGCTAGTCCCCCAAGCCAGGTCCAATCACTCTCGGTGACCTCCTTGTCAAGTGTCACTCTCGGCCGACACAGCTCCCAAGGCCATCCGGAGTAGAAATGAATGAGAGGTGGTTCCTCACCGGTTCTTGGGTTTCTCCCCAGGCTAGGGGACCCTGGACCTTGGACCTTCTGTAGAACGAGAATCCTACTATCTACTTCATAACTATCATAGATACTGTAGGGACTAAGTGAGTTAATGAGCAAAAGAGTTTAGTGTGCCCTGGGGAGGGGGTAGGAGGAGGCCAGGGGGAGTGGAGGCTGGAGGGGGCAGTGACAATGATGACAGCTAATACCACCTGGGCCAGGCGAAATTCTGAGCACTCTCCTTACACTAACTCATTTCATTCTCAAAAAGCTCCAAGCTGGCTACTATTACTTATCCCAATTTTTTTTTTTTTTTTAGTTAATCACTGAGGGAAATCAAGCATAACTTCAACAATCTGCCCAGAGCCCTGCAGTGAACAGATGGAGGAGTGTGGACTTCCTCCCACCTGCGTCCCCTCAGCTTTCATTCCACCCGGCCTTTCCCACTGCCAGGGGTTCAGAGCCTGGGCTTGGATGCCAGGTGACACAGGTGTGGACCCTGGCTCTACCACCCGCTGGCCGTGTGGCACCTGACCTCCAGTCCCCTCATCTGCTCATGAGGACCCGCATGAAGAACTCAGCAGAGCCTGGCACACGGGAAGTGCTCTGACGTCCAGTAGAGAGTAATCCTGTCTGCTGGCTGTTCCCTCCTGGTCTTACCTTCTTCAGGCCACAGCGACAACTCTCAGCCTTCACCCTACCCTGATTCGCTTTGTGGCAGCTCAGTACCAACCTTGGTGGGAGGAGGAAGCAGAGGCTGGCCTGCTTGGGGAGTCAGAGGAGAGAGCCCCTGACACCTTATCACTCATCTGGTAAGGTGGGCACTGGGCTGAAACACCCAACACCCACCCCAATACTATTCTGTCTGCCCCACTACAGAGGCTCAGAAGCCACAGCCCCTCTTTCCTAGGCTCCCTGCAGTGGGGGCCATGTGACACTGATCTGGCCCCTGAGATGTGAGCAGCAATCTGCCAAGAGGGTTCTGGGAAAGGTTTTGCCTTCCTGATGAAGGCAACAAACACGGACTGTGCTGCCTGGAGCAGCTGGTGGCATTCTGCAACAGCCGTAGGCGAAAGGCCAAGGGTCACAGACATGCCCACTCTGACACTGCTGGGGAGCACCTACCTCTGGATTGCGTGGGTATGTGACAAATAAGCCCTATGTATGGAAGTCCCTGCTACCCCCAGTGGGAGCACTCCCCAATACACGGAGTACAGTCCCACTCACCTGGGCATGCTTGAAGATGTGCATGATGAAGATGGTGAGGCCCAGGCCAAAGATGTAGGCTGCGAAGCTGGTGTAGAAGTAGGTGTGGGTGTTCTTCTTTAAGCTTCAGGAAGGTGTGGGGAGAAAGAGGAGGGGGGTTAGTTGCAGGCATGGGAGCAGCACCATCTCTTCTGAGGGGGGAGCTGGGGAAGACCCGGGAGGAGGCTGTGTGGGATGGCTGAGAGGCTGGCACTGGGCGTGCGTTCTGGTACTGTCCCAGCTATAGGTCTTTGGACAATTCACTTTCCTTCCTTAGGCCTCAGTTTATTCACCTGCAAAATGGGAAAACCACGATCCATCTGCTCAGTGGTTGTGAATATCGAGTGCCTAACCTAGAACAGTGGCTTTAAGACTTTAGCCAGCATACAAATCACCTAGAAAACTTGCAAAAAACCCCCCAAAACAAAAAATAACAGACTTCCAGGTCCAATTCCCGGGGAGTCTGATTGACTAGGTCTGCGGCAAAGTCCAGGCATCTGCATTTTGAGAAACCACCCAGGTGAATCTGATCTGGGTGAGTCATGCTTTGGGCGACACTGATGCAGAAGCTGCAAAGCTGACTTACTCCTCTTCAGTGCAGTGGACGTGACAGTTCTGTGACCTGCTGACTATGTGGATAAAGTGCCAGTGGCTTCCTGGAGGCGAGCCATCCGAGAGCAGCCTCAGGACTGAATCACACTGCCGTTACAGGACTTCCCTTTGTGACCTCAGCTCCATGACCTCTGTGTGTCCCCAGCACCCAGAACAGTGCCCAGCGCCATCTGTGGACCGAAGGAGTACTCGCGACCCCCTTTCTCCCTGCCCCGCATGCCGCTGAGCCGGGAGCTGCGAGTGCACTGGGGGCCTGCTGCTGTGGGCTGGCGGTGAAGCTGACCGCTGTGGGCACGCTGCACGGATTCTGGAACCAGCTCTCAAAGGCGGGCGGACCCTGCCCATCCAGGCTAGGAATGAGATTCTGCTTCTGAGGGTGCTGGCAGCCAAATGTGAATCTGTGTCGCTAGCAAGTGGTCCAGGGACGCTCATGGGGTTCTCTTTGTGTCACCTCTGAACAGCCAGGAGTACAGCCAGCTGGCACAGACCTGCCTCTACTTACAGACTGCCCAGGTCCCTCCCAAAGGCTGTCTGGAAGCCCGTGGACGTGAGGTCTGAGTGGTACTATACAAATACCCCACATGTACGTGAACAGGGGCAAGTTTCACAGGCAAACTCGAGTTCATGGACACTGGTACAGTTTCTTGTTACCACTGTCAACACTATTACTGCTTTTGCGATTACTGGGCACAAGGAGATTAAGAAAAGCTCACAAACCACCTTTAAATTCAGTGCACTTATTAAAAACTAATGATGTAATGTATGGTGATTAACATAACAATAAAAAATTAAAAAAATTCAGTGCATTTACTGCGAACCTTCCACTGGGAAGACAGCGCCACCTGCTGGTGGCACGCTCAGCTACGCTAACAGTGCAACCTTTTCTGTGGGAAGTGGTGACTCAAGCCGGCCCCCTTCCCTCCCTGTGCTTACGTTCCACAGTGGACTGCACAAATCTGAGTGAGGGGAACGCGGGGAGCAGCCAGAGCAGCTGGGACACAGTGACCTGAGCCCGGGCTGATAATGCATGATGACGACTGGACTGCAGCTGGTTCTCCCTGCGGCCCTGTGCTCAGTGCTCCCTCCAGGTTTTCTTGGTAATGCCGAGGTCGGAGCTCTTGTTTACCACAAAGTGAAGAACAAAAAACCTTAGCCCAGAAAGGTCAGATCACTTGCCAAGGTCACGCAGTGAGAAAGCACTGAGTACCACTAGGACCTTCTGGGTTTAAATCTCTTGGGAGTGTGATCCCTTTTTCCTTTTGGCCACAGGGTCTTTGAACACTCAGAACTTCAAAGTGCAGATAAATCAGAATCGCACTGGCTGCTGCAGAGGTGGAGGGTCTGATCACAGGTCACCTCCTCTGGGCTCCTGAAAGCCACCAAGGAACCCCTGGAGTACCCTGCCCAGGGAAGGCTCCTCACTCATGGAGCTTGAGGGCTAGAGTTTCCAAGCAGCTTACCTGATGTCAAAACGTAGCAGCAAGGCAATGAAGATCCCTGTGGGCAGAGAGCCAGGGTTAGATGGTGGCAGGGAAGCCAGCACCTCAGGAAGGCCTGGGGACGGAGTCCCCTGCCTGGGACGGGGAGGGGCGGGGTAGTGAACTAACACACAACCTGGTGTTCCCAGTCATGGAGCAATCACTGGAGGCCAACACTGCCAACTGCCAGAAGAAATCCCACCTCTCTACCACCAGGCCTCCCTAGAACAATGAGAAGCTCCCAAGAGTTTGCTTTGGTCTGGGACCACACTGACCTGGCACCTCATAGCACCATACTGTGTCACACTGGGCCCAGTGTGTCTAAGTACCAGGCACTGTAGACAACAGGGAGCAAAATCACTGCACCCACAGAGCTCAACCAAGGCGAAAGGAGGCAGACATGCTGATCAAACAGGAACAAAACTCAATATAAGATCCTAACTGTGAAAGGGTGCTTTCTGTGTCATGGGAAGGTATATCCGGGGATATGCCAGACTAGGGGGAGTGGAAGGGAAGAGGAAGAAGGGCTTCTTTAGGAAGTGACACTTGCCAGGCAGAGGGAACAGCGCATGCAAAGGTCCTGAGGGAAGAGGGGCTTGGGTGTGGCATGGGTCAAGGAGCCGGGAAGGTTGCAGCCCAGAGCAGGAGATGAAGGGGATGGACCAGCCATGCTGGGCCGTGGGGCACAAGGAGGAACTGGGTCTCTACCCTGAGTAAGGGAACACACCCTAAACAGATTCTGAACACCCGTGTGGCAATTGCTTGGTTAGAGGGAGGCGTAGGACCAAGCAGACCATCAGGAGGCTCTGCGGGAGCGCAGTAGAGGATGATTAACTCTGTCCACCCACTGCACTCCTACTGGCACTTCAAATCCCAGCCCAGACACCCCAAAAGCCCAAGACTCCCCAAGACACAGACAGCCAGGCCAGCCTCTGCATGTTGCTCACACACCACAACCATCTGTGTCTGTCTCCCTCATTGGTGTCTGGGCTCAGACAGGGTAAGGGCTGAATCTCATTTAGTTGATCAGAAGCACTGACTGGCAGCATAGGGCTAATTTTATCTTATTTATTTATTTATTTCTAAATATTCCATCCTTAAGCAATCTGTACACCCAATGTGGAGCTTGAACCTACAACCCCGAGATCAAGAGTTGCATGCTCCACTGATGAGCCAGCCAGGCACCTCAATATATGACTGATTTTAAATCGGGAAAGTAGTTAGTCCTCCCCAAAGACGTTGAGACTGTGTGGGAGTAGGGAGTGGGTGGGTGAGAGAGAAGACAAATGCTGCCTTTCTGGAAACAAAGCTGGGAACTCAGCATCCCCCTGGCGGCCGAATGCTACAACTGTTCTCCAACGCATCCAGGGCTCAGAGCTCTGCTAAGAGCTTTCACCGCTAATCATGCATCTGGTCCTCAAAACAATGGTCTGCAGCAGCCTATTCTTTGAGGAATATCACTGGGGCGCTCCGAGGGTGCAATGGACTTTCAACTACTAAAACTGTTTAAATACTTAGATACGCAGGTACATGCAGGGGTGTCCTGTGCACACCCCAAGCCCAGAACTATGACCGCCAAGGATACTGGGAAAGTCTGGGGGGTGGGGGGAGCCTGGGGCAGCCCATGCCCTGCACAGTGAGCTGGTTGCTTGCTGGGACTCGATTTCTTCGGTCTGATGGAGCTGCGTCTCCCCGCCTCACAGCACTGCAAGTTATGGAAAGTCTCGGGTTCAAGGCCATACCCCTATGTGCCTGGGAACTGGAGCCTCAGTTACTCATCTGTAAAAGGGAAATACCCTTTACCTCACTGGGCTGCTAGGAGCAGCAAAGTGACAACGTGGGAGAAGCAGCCAGCATGGTGGCGGGCACCCAGCAGGCGCCTGACCCGTGGCGGCTGGGGTGATCATCATCTTCTTATTGTCATTATTGTTATGGCCCATTTCTGACAGGGAAGGCTTTTTCTGCAGACGGAAGACCTGGACTGGGGCCTGGCCTTGGCCTTTACCGGTGCATGAAGTTGTAAAAGTCCCTTCACTTCTGAGCCTCAGTTTCCTCGCTGGTAAAAGAGAAAACCTCTCCTGCACTGCCACACAAAATCAAAGTGTCACAACGGAAGTGCCTGTACCATCCCAGGATATTAGAACTACCATCATTTCTTAGAGTGGAAAATAGGTTGGCTTTTCACTTGTTCCACACTTTCTTCTTTCAAGCAAGCACCAGGGGTGCTTCTCATCCTTGGACTCTGAGCCTCTGGACTACAGGAACAAGTGTGCCCTTTGGATACCTGTCACCAGGCCCGGATCTGCAGATATACACATCTGAAGCTCAGCCATGGCAGCGACCCACAGAGCAGCAGCCTGGCTTTGCCCTGAGGCTTTGGACCGGCAGTTTAGGCTGCTGGTGCCCCAAGGCCAGGCAAGGCTGCGGGCCCCCAGGGCTGTGTGCCCCGAGCCCAGGTGCACTGATTAGCACCCACATGCAGACGGTTCCGAGGTCCGCTCACGTGGACGAGCAGGTGTGTACCACACGTCCCTTTGCCGAGAGTACAGGCGCGTACACTCACGGTGCCCCCTGTGTCCACACACACAGCCATGTTCTCCCTGGGACTGGGGGAGGAGGACCACGGGGATTCTGGCACTTTGGGCATATCGGTACTACTCGTAAACACTGGCAAGGGGCAGGTACGCGTGCGAAGGCTCACGAGATACGCTTCTCACAGAATGTATTTCAGTCTGTCACAGGCACCTTATTTTGCTGTTCTGGAGTAATGTCTGTTCAGTCAGACCAGAAGCTCTGTGAGGACAGTCTTGCTCACTGCTGTTCCCCCCGCTGCCTGGCTCAGGGCCTGGTACATGACTGTGTTCGACCCTGGGCTGACCCAGGGCTGGGTGTCTGGAATCGCCTGGCCTCTCCCTTCCCTGTCCCCAGCGGCGAGGCTGCATCACAGTACTGGTGTTCCTGCTCCTCTCAGGACCCTCCACCACTTGCACTGTGGCCCCCACCCTGGCCTGCTCACCTGGAATGACGATATCTCCAAGTCCCAGCATGGCAAAGTTGTCCGCTTCGAGGCCCTTCTCCAGTAGGTCCTGGGGAAACACCACTGTGGGGGGAGACAGGGATGCAAGGCATCGGTGAGAGGCAGGTTCAGATGGCCTCCCAGCCCCTTAGCTCTGTTGCATGAAACTCACACACCTGCATATAAAGGGGGGGGCGCGGAGCAGGGAGGCACAAGGATGGTGACAGGTTGAAGGGCAAAGTCTCCATCTGGAACCACAGGGGGTTAGAGGGGGAAGAATCTAGGATCATCGAGATCAAAGGTTGCCTGCCTTTACTGAGCTAGAGGTCACACAGCACACCATTTCAGCGCTCGCCGGTAGCTATGGAACCCTCTGGTGAAGTGGGATTGACCCAAAAGCCACATGGATGAAAGAGACCAAAGAGCCCACACAGTGCTGACATCTAATAGGCTTTCCGTCTCACTACAGCAAGGGTAGGGGCAGCTGGTGGCCCTTGCTCTGCAGCAGGGGTAGCCTGGGCTGGAGGCCCTTCCTGGATGTGCCGAAGAGAAAAAGGCCACACTCCTACAAACTCCTTACTTGAAGGCCCTCACTCAAAAATCATGCTGACCGACTTGTTTAGATAAACACAGATGGAAAGAAATGCCTCCTCTGTGTCTAGTTATGGCAAGAGGTGACTGTAATTGGATCTCATCCATAGCGCCTTGTTTTTTTTTCTTTTTAATATTTTATTTATTTGAGAGAGCGAGAATACAAGCGGGGGGGAGGGGGGAGGGGCAGAGGAAGAGGGAGAAGTAGGCTCCCTTCCTGCTGAGCAGGAAGCCTGATGCGGACTTGATCCCAGGACCCTGAGATCATGACCTGAGCTGAACGCAGACGCTTAACCGAGTCACCCAGGAGCTCCTCCCTAGCGCCTTATAAGCAGAAGGGCAGTTAGGTGTAGGCTTCAAGGTGAGACTGCATGGGTCTGAATCTTGGCTCTGCTCTGTGACTTTGCACAGGTTACTTAGCTGCTCTGTGCCTTAGTTTTCTCACCTGTGAATGGGTAAAACAGAACTGACCCCATAGAGCTGTGCTGAGAATCAGATTATTTGCACATCGTTAACTGTCACCCCATGCCTTCTTTACTAACCCAGTTCTGACTTTGGGTGGGGCAGCCTTCTCAGGGAATGGATCAAGTGGCACAAGGCTGAGACGATCTGGACAACCCTGGTCCCTGAATTCCCGACTTCCCTTCCAGCTAGGGGTGGCCACATGACCCAGCTCTGGCCAACGCTTTGTAAGCAGAGGTACACTGGGGGTTCTAGGTGAGCTTATGCCTCCCTAATGAACACACAGATGCCCTTCCCCACCTACTTCTTCCCACCCCGAATGCATAGTCACAGTGATTTACAGTTCTCAGCATTCGATCTTCCCAATCCTAGCACCATTCAATTCTGAGAGGTGGATGTGAAAACCAGGGCCCAGAGAGGTGAATGAAGTCTCTTGCCTAAGGTCACCCAACCAGCTAGTGTCAGATCTGGGTCCAGGCAGCCTGACAGGGCTCTGCTATCCTGCCTGAGCTCTACGCCTAGCAGTGGAGGGCGATGGGCTTTCTCCCCACACCAGAACCCAAGTATGATCGTGTCACTGTCTTCTTCAGAGCCTTCCAGTGGCTCATTCACTGCCCACTGGGCAGTCCAGGCTTCCTGGCATGATACTCTTGGCTTCCCAAATCTGGCCTCTTTTCTGCTGCTCCCCTAAACTCAGCCACGTTCCCTCCCTGATTCTCTGCTCCCAGGGCCCTCTGTGCATTTCCCTGCCTCTGCCCTTTACCGAAGCCCTGCTCTCTTTTCAAAGGCCCACCCTGCCCCTGCTTCCTTGGTAAACATGTGTTCATCCTGCAGGAAAGCTTTCCTGGCACCCTGGCTGGCTCCATCTATCATGGCACGTGGGCAACAGCTGCTGCTCTAGCTGGCCCAGCATCTGTTCTCCTGCTGCAGAACTGCCTTGCTTTACACCCTTGGTTCCGGGGGGCTGCCAACTCAAATACTCTGTTCCCAGACACTGGGGAGGGCAGCGACCCAGGCCTGTCCATCGTGATCTCTCTCTCCCCAGCAGGAGGGCCTGGCTCATGGGCCCATTGGTTTATTCAAACCAAAGCTGGCAGAAACTTGTTTCCCTCGGGGTCACTGAGCTGGGACCATAGCACCTGGGAGCTGTGTGTAGCCAGGAGTGTCTGTCCGGCTCATGGAGGCCTGTCTGCAGCAGTGGAGAGCAAGACTTTGAGGAGGACAGTTATTTCTTGTTTCTCTGAGGCCAGCTTCACCCTGGCTGCCCAGTGCCCATGGTGCTTGCTTCCCAAGACCAAGGCCTTCCCAACACGACTCTCCCCTTCCTCCCTGCTATCAGCTTGACTCATTCCATCCTCTTCTTTGGGTCTCGTGATCCCAGGAGGGGACTCCCGGGTGTCTGAGCCTTAAACTCAAAGCTAATCATGCTTTTCCACCACCCCCTCTGCTGATGACCAGTTTGGATTTGGGCCTGTGGGGAAAGACCTCCTTCTCTAATGAGACAGATGCAAAGTGCCCTCCCTCTGCCTCTGGACATGGCTGGGTAAGGAGTCAGTACTAGGAGCTGTGGCAGCCAGCTTGGGGCCACAAGGTGATGAGCTGAAGGGACAGGTGGACATGCGGAAGACAGTGGGGCGGACAGCCAGCTCTTGGTGACGGCACTTGGTGAGGGTAAGGCGCTGTCGAGGGCCTGCTACAGAGTGAGATGACAACACTTCTGCATTGCTTACTGACACCCACATGCCGGCCGCTGGATTATCTCATCTTTACCAACAACGGGTAGCTACATGGAACAACAAAACCTGAGCCATGTGAGGGGTGTGGGACAGACTGCGCCAGCTAAAGGCACCCAGTGAGAGGCTTTGGGCCTCAGTGTGGAGTCCCCTTTCCTGGAGAGCCCCCGCATGCCCCGCTACAGGCTATGTTAGACACCCTCCTCTGTGCCTGCTCCCCTCTGGCTCATCCCGTATCACACTACACTGGGGCCAAGAGGCAGGACGCCAGGACCTGGGCAGAGGCTGACTGCATGTGAACACAGCCAGATGAATCTATCAAGGAGGGGAAGGAAACCAGGCTGGAGACACGGGACGGCCTGGAGGAGGAAGAGATGTGTGGGGAAGAGCCAAGGGAGAGGGACCAACCAAAAGAGGGACCACGATGGGGGAAGGGCCATGAGGTAGAAGCAGAGGGGCTCCCCACGGTGGATGTGGTCACTTACATTTTATTGGTGCCTCAAAGGACTTGGCCACTGTCACCATCACATTGGTGCCAAATACCTAGGAGGAGAAGACAGGAGTCTGGAGGGAGGTGAGGGCCAGGTGGGAAAGGAACACTGTCTTAGGAACTCCTTTTCTTTCCTATTTTTTTTTTTTTTTAAGACTTTTTTAGAGAGAAAGCGCATGTGGGGACGGGCAGAGGGAGAGAGAGAGAGAGAAAGAGACTCCAGCAGACTCCTCTCTAAGCTTGGAGCCTAATGCAGGGCTTGGTCTCGAGGCCCTGAGATCATGACCTGAGCAGAAACTAAGAGTCAGACGGTTAACTGACTGAGCCACCCTGGTACCCTGTCCTAGGGACTCCTGATGCAATGTTGCCTGAGATCCACAGGGACAGGGGCAGGGAGTGAGGAGGTGCTCCAGAGCAGATGTGAAGCTGAGATTAGGTGGCTACTGATACTGGTCATATGGATACCTCATGGGACTCCTGGTTCTGGGCAATAAACAGGGCAATTTGAAGGAGCTGGAAAAGGGCCTCTGATGGCCCAGGCCAGGTGTCCTGTTTGTTCAGGGCTCTGCCCCTCCTAGGACATAAAGTCCTCTACCACCACCCACTTAAGGGGGAAAGAGGCTGCCTGAGGCCAGGGAAAGGTGCTTAAGTCAGGCTGACCTTGATCCCTCAGTGATGCCTGTCAGGAGTGAGCGTGGCACGTCCCTCAGCCCTGGGCTGGTGTGTGCCAGAGTGTGCTGCCAACAGCAGCCTCTGTCCTCAGACTGGTGCCCTCGCTGGGCCCATTCATCAGCATTAACCACCCCTGCCTGAACTTCTCGGAGTCTCAACTTGATTGCTGGGAAGACACAGGAAAGGAATAGCTCTGCTGGGACCACCGGGAGGAAGAAGTGAGGTGGCTGGAAGGCCTGGGGCACAGGGTGGGCTCTAAGCCATGTGGGGAATCTGCTCTCTCATTTGTTTCACAGATAAGGGCAAGTGGGCCCAGAGAGAACCTGCTCTGGGGTCTCAATCTCCAGGCCATCAGATGACTGCCGTGAGACAGGGATGGAGGAGGCAAGGCCCCCTTTAAAAAAAAAAAAAAAAAGATTATTTATTTATTTATTTATTTGAGAAAGGCAGAGAGAGCACAGAGGGAGAAGCAGACTCCTCGCTGAACAGGGAGCCCGATAGAGGGCTGGATCCCAGGACCCCAGGATCATGACCTGAGCCGAAGGCAGATGCTTAACCAACTGAGGCACCCAGGCACCTGCCAAGGGGCCCTTTGGGTCCCAGCCCGACTCACCCAGAAGACATCGTAGATGAAGAGCCCGCCTAGCAGGATGCAGCCGGTGCTGACGTTGTTTAGGTGCAGGAGCTCCACCCCGTTAAGGGAGAAGGCCAGGCCAAAGAGGTTGTTGGCAATCCAGTGCTGGGGGAAAGTGGGAGTGAGATGGTCTGTCTGGCTACCCTGCCCCGCGCCCCCTCCCACGCTCCCCTCATCCCGCCCCAGGCTCTGGCTCCTTACCTTCCTCAGCAGGTACCAGACGCCAACGATGCTGCTCAGGCCCAGGCATACCAGGTCCTTGGCGTCAAACTCATAATTGATGATCTCTGGGCAGAGAGGCCGGGTAAGTCCACTCCCCGGGGCGGGGCTGCCCCTCCCACCTGTCAGCCCCTGGACGGAGGAGGGCATGGCTGTGGGCACTGTCAGAGCCTCCCCAGCAACCCCACCCCCCCGATTTCCTAGAGGAGGGACTGGAGGCCCAGAGAGAACAAAGGCCTGGCACAGGGTCAGTGGGAGGTGGTCCGTGGTGTTGGAAGCACAGACTCTGCATTTGTAGCCAGGTGACCTTGGGGGAGGCAGTTTCCTCTCTGAGCTTCAGTCTCTTCCTCTGTAAAACGGGGACTGCAGCACCTCCCCGATAGGGCTGCTCTGGGGAGCAAGTGAGATGGTCCTCACAAAGCACTCAGCACAGTGCCTGGCACACAGTGGGTGCTCAATCAATGGCAGCTGCTACTGAGCCCAGGTCTTTAGCCAGCTCCCAGTCCATTCAGGAATCTTCCTACTTTGCCATCAACAGAAACCAGGAAGGTTGCTGGCAGCCCTACATCACCAGCAAAGGAGGAAGAGGAAGAGGAAGAAGGTAAGAGCTGGAGGCCTGGAGAAAAAGCAGGAGGGAGTCCCTGTGCGCTCCTGAGGGGGGCCCTGTGGTAGACACTCCTCTTAGCCATTCTCTATCACTTCCAAGTTTCCTAGTGAGGAAGCCCAGGAAGGTGGTGGGGCTTGCCCAAGGTTACAGAGCGTAACCATTTCTCTCAGGTTCCAGAGTGGAACAGCCTGCTGGTTGGCCACAATTTTTGTTCTCTCCTTTGTGGTAACAGCACCCTGGGGAATTTTTTTTGGGTTTTATTTGAAATTAGTTAACATATAGTATAGTATTGGTTTCAGGAAGCACCTTGGTGATTTTTAAATTGGACATGAAGCCAATCAGCTCATGGCCACATCTTCTGGCTTGCCCTGTAGCTAAATGGGCCCATGATATGGTAACGGTACACCATCCTGGGCCTAAAGGGCAACCCGGTGGCAGAGCACCAGACAGATGGAACCTTGGACCCCAAAGACTTTGTGGTGCAAGCTTAGCCTTTTTTATCTTTTTTAAATTCAACAATCATCTCTTGGGCACAGACGCACTCGAGATGCAAAAAGGAATGACTTTAAGTCACCATTCTCTAGGAATAAGGCAGAATGTGGCAGGCACCCGTAAGAGAGAGAGTGGCATTCACAAGCTCAGGCTTTTATGCAAGAAATACTTTTCATTTGGTCAAGCCACTGCCAACCCTGTTATAGCACTAGAACTCATATCCAAACAAACCCCCAAAGTCCAGGATTTCTCCAAGGTGACAGAGTTTTCATTTTTTTTTTTAAACAAAGAACCCCCTTTCTAAGTCTTAGGTGGGAGAGTCATCACATTAAAAACAGGTATGATACAAGGAGCTACGCCAGCCAACATTAGTGAGTGCTACCGTAAGCCAGGCCGTGTGCTGAGTGCTACCCTAATCGCTGACTCCCAGTCCTAACAACACGCCTATGAGGGAGGTACTAGATGTATCATTTTCATTTTACAGATGAAACAAAATCGAAAACACCCAAGGCTCGGAGAGGTAAAGGCATTCACCCAGAGTCCCCTGTGTAGGCAGTGGCAGAGCAGGGGTGGGAACCCAGGCAATGTGATTCCTTCCAGAGCCCACCTTTTCCATCCCTTGTTCTACTGGAGAAACCCTATATTGGAGACAAAGGGGAATGGAGGTGAGGGATCCCCAAGGCAAGGGAAAGCGGGCAGCACTGACCTTCCTTGTTCTCCCCAGAGCCCTGCGTGAAGAGCAGCTGGTACTGTCGATTTGGGAAGCTGGCTGGAAAAAACTTATTCATGAAGGGGCTGGAAGGAAAGACAAAGCAGGTCGGCACACAGGGCCCCCATGGGCAGTCGCAGCCCCAACACCATCCCAGAAACACCCATTCACAGCTCTTTCCTCCCAGGACCGTCACAGCGGCCCTGATGGGGAAGACTTATCAGCCCTATTCCCCAGATGGAAACGGAGGCCCCCGGACTAAGTGACTGCCCAGGGTTGACTCCCCATCTGAGTTGAGACTCAAACATAGGTCTCTGGAATCCTACTGCTTCTGCACTGCCTCTTGGTTATTGCCCAAGAAACACAAAGCGGGGCCAGACTTCCATGTAAAATGCAGTTTTAGAACAGGAACTGATGCCAAAGCTGATCCGTGCATGGTCTCTATGAGAGTCCCTGGTCGAGAAGGCGTATTCCTTGACTCTCTTCCAGACCTATTAAGTCAGATGACCTGATGGTTACTGCCTACCCCCCAACTCCGTGACTTGTCAGGCCTGGGTTTTTTTTTTATAAACTCAGCTGGACTCAATCAGCTAGATGAATCACAGCCTCAGGGTGGAGGGGGAGGAGCACCTCACATTCACTCTTTCCATGAGGCCTCTGTTGTTCAGGATGGGCTCAGCCTTATCTCTGGAAAAATGGTCTCTGATCACCCAGCATACTCTATGCCTTGGCCAGGCAGGGAAGAGAAACTTTCTTTTCTGGATCACCTTCAGAAAAAGATGTGCACATCAGGGCCTCCCGGCCCAGCCTGGCCCTCGGGGCAGCTCAGCCCAGGAGACTAGGCGGCCACACCCCAGCTGTGTGGCTTTGGGCGAGTCACTTCAGTGGCTCATCTCCTCAGCTGTCTGTGGGGATAACAATACTACGTGTCTCAAACGGTTGCTGGGAAGGTATGCGAGAAGGCAGGAGAGAGGCTTAGCCCAACTCTGGACCCACAACAGGGATATAAGAACTCTTGAGCTTCCTTCAGCGTTGGCACCTGTCCAGAGCCTGACCTCAAAAGCATTTGGCAATACTGGATCAGACTGACAATGACTGATGAGGTGGGCAAATCCAGAATGGTGTTCCCAAACAGAGGCAGGCCAAGAGGTACCCAGGGCACAGCAGTAAAGGCAGGGAAAGGGAGCTCCCTTTCTAAGACCCTGCGGGTTGGAGAAAGAAGATGTGGAGTTAGGAACTATTTCAGGGTCTGTTTCCCCACTTGTCAAACAGCTTCCCCGTCTGCAGGGCTGTGGCATGAACGAGAGAGCTTTGTGAACCCAAGTGTGGCAGGCACAAGGATGGAACTGGGAGTGGGCTTCCACAGGAGGGCTCTGAAGAAGTGGGGGGCAGAAGCTGGGACAGATGAGGCTGGAAGCTACTTTCAGCTCAGTTCGCTGAATCACTTTTGGGAGAGCCTGAAGCCAGAGTGTGTGGGAAGAGGCAGAGAAGAGGCCCGAGGAGCTAAGCCCCTCACTGTAGGCTGGCCTCTTCCTCAGGAGCTTGATACTTAGCTTCTGAACCAGCCGAGCGCAGTGGCTCAGGGCACGGACGCTGGAGCCAGACTTCCTGGATTCAAATCCTGACTCTGCCACTGATTAGCTGTGTGATCTTGGGAAAGTTACTTAACTGTTCTGTGTAACTGTTTCCTCATTTGGAACACTACACTAGTTATCTTTCTCTTAGTTACTAAGGGGATTCAATGAATGCTTGGCAGCCCAGCCTGTAAGCTTAACTGCCGCCTTTACTTCAAGTAAGAAGTCTCCAGACTGATGACTTGGTTATCCCGAGCAAAGAAGCGCTGCTGGATAACAGAGGGCAAGAGTCAAGCAACCTGGCTGGTGAGCCTGAACTTGAGAGTGGGGGTCCTGTCTCATCACCTTCACCCCACCCATGGCAGGCCTGGTGCCTAGGAGGCAGCTGGTAAATGCTTGCTGAACGCCTCTGAATGCAAACTTCTGTAGCAGGCAGAGATTTTCCAGCCCTCGATGGCTCACATCAAACCTAAAGGTCACTGCTTCCTGCTGGGAAACCACATCCTGGTGCCCTTCTCCCCTGGGAGTGGAAAGCAAGGGTCGATAAAACTGACCTTTTCTTCCTGGGGTGGCAGATTTTGGCCTTATGGGCCCTTTTCCCTCTAAAGTCAGCTGGATGGGGTGTGAGCTCAGAGATGATAAAAATAAGCTGAGGTTCCCTTGGCAGGAAGGGTTCTGGCATGGTCTTGCAAGTCTTGGTGGCTAACAAGGTGAAGGCAGGTGGCAGGCTGGGGGGTGGTGGCAGGCGTGGAAGGATCCACAAGAATCCCCCCCTGGGGCTGACCTGGCTCGGGGCCGGGCTCTTCCAGCCCTCCAGCAGGTCTGTCCCCCCAGTCCTCTGGGGGTTGTCGCAGGACTGCTGACAGGGGGTGGCCAGCCCACTCTCTACAATCTCTGTCTCCCCCCCACTCTTGCCGACTGGGAAGAATATGGGCCGTGAAGTGAGACCGACCTGGGCTCAGAACCCCCTCTGGCCCTACCAGCTGTGACTCCTAGTGGTCACACAACCACTCAGAGACTCACCTTCCCTGAATCCCACCTCCAGACCCTCTGGTTTAGATCCTGACGGAGGTCTGACTCTAAGTTTGTGGATATAAACAGCTCATGGAAATTCTGACTACATCACAGACTTTCTTTGAAAAAGTATTTCAGAAAACTCAATTTAACTGAAGGAGAAAAATAAATTTAATTTTTGGCTCAGCTTTCTAAACAACATGATTAAATTATGCCTTCCCCCCTTTTTGCTAAAATTATGTGCATCTGATTCAGTTCTTTTCCATGTAAACTTTTCAAAGCAATTTCTCTCATCCCTCCATTTTTGGTCCATATAAAATTTTTCACAGGACAGTTCTGACACTGTGGTGAGCATCCCTCCTGCCCATGGTCATCAATTGTGTTTATGAGGTCTGATTTTCCCAGGTCAAATATTGTGCTCTAATTTTATCAAGAAAATGATTCTTCTGTTAAGTTTTAGTCACCGATATATTTCACCATGTGCAGTTTCGGTTGCTGTTGGTTCTGTCAATAATTTTTACCAGTCAAAATTATTAATTAGTTAAAAGACAGACAGACAAAACACACCGGGTTCTCTGAGGTGGTGGTTGGGCCACCGGGAGGCCTAGGAATCTCAAGCCTCTCACAGATGCAGGCGTAGGATGGATGAGAATTAGGGGGATCCTAATCAGCACGGGGAAGGAGGGGTTCCAGTGCCTGGAGGCGACTACCCCCACCCCACCCCACCCCAGATCCATCAGATAGAGAGCTCTGCCCTTTGAGGCTGGGTCTGCCACCATTTTGCTAGGTCCCAGTCACTGAGCTAGGTTCTCTGCACCTTCATTTTTTAGGATAGGGGACTGGACTAAAATTCTTGTAAGATGGCTGGAACAAGATTTTATGGGTAAAGGGCAGGTATAGTTGAAGTCAACACTGAACTCAGTCAAAAGACCAGAATTCCAGTCCCAGCTGTGTGACCTTGGACAAGAAGCACAACTCACAGTGCACTTGGCACTGTGCTCTAGCCATGTTATAGCTGTGGTTCACCTGATGCTTCCCATGCCCCAGCGAGGAGGTGCTCATGGTGTCTCCGTTTTCTAGAAACTGATGCTCAGAGGGCGTGAGAAGCTTACACAAATTATAGAGCTGGCAGAGCCAGGCCTTGGTCCCAGGGCCAACTGTCTCCTGAACCCACGCTCTTGAGTACCACACTGTCCTGCCAGCGTGCCTACAGGAACAAGGCCAAACTCACCCCGCTTTCAATGCCTCTTGTGAGCAGGCCCAGCACTTCCTCCCCAGCCTTCTGACTACTGCAGAAAGATCCCGACTGTGCCTTCACTAGCTCCTAGCTTCCCTTTCTCCTTCGCGCCTCTTCCAGGTTTCCCACCCTTCAAAGCTGACTTTAAGCTGCGTTCCGTCCTTCTGGGACCCTCCCTGGTCTGCTGGCCACCTCAGGGTCAGTGGGTCTCAACCTGACACTGTACCACCTCAAGGGGCCAGATGGAAGCACTGGGGACGCTTCTGTAGTCACAAGCTAGGGGGTGGACTGGGGACACAACTCACATTTAGTAAGCGGGGCTAGGGAATGCCAAATGTTTACAACGCACGGAGAACTGGCCTGTCCACGACGCTACCAGCAGCACCCCGAGGTCCCCGGCCTAGGTCCTTCATCCCCACTGAACAGACACAAGCACGTGGCCGTCTGAGCAGGGTGGCAGTGGGAAGGTGGCTCTGGGGCCACTCAGACCTGGGTTTGAATCTTGGCTCTGCTGCTTATCTATTGTGCGATCCTAGCAAATTTCTTAATCTCTTTGAGCTTCAGTTTCCAAAGATAACAGAGGATTAAAAGCAAAAGCTAACCTCATAAAGTTACCTGGCAGGTTAGCAAAGGAAGTAATAGTAACAATGACAGTTAACAGTTACTGGACACATTAAGTGCCAGATACTCAGCTAAAAGCTTTCCCATGACCCATAAGGAAGGTTCGATTATTTTCCTCCACATTCAGCTGAGGAAATTGAGGCCAGAGAGATTAAGTAACTTGCCCAAAGTCATAGGGCTATTAAGTAGCAGAGTCTGGATTCAAATTCAGGTAATCAAATTCCAGAGGCTGCACTCCTAAGTTCTCACTATACGGCCTCTCTCTCATTAGGAAATAAGATCATGTGTGAGAAGCTGGGCTTAGCGCCTGGTGCAGGGCAGGCTACAACACCCGGCAAGTGGTGCTGGTGTTACCCATCTCAGTGCCGAGACAAGTGACATCATGTTACTGTTCACAAATAACTTTCCCAACAACTGTGGTGGTGGGAAACACCCACGGGATACTCTTATCAGTCCTGGTAAGGAAACTGTGTCCCACAGAGGTTATCGTTCTTATTCTAGGTCATCCACGGTGTACCCCAGGGGAAAGCTGCCCTCGGATTTTACAGCCAGGATTCAAACCTGGCTCTGAATGACGCCAAAGGTCATGTTCTCATCCAGGACCCTGTACTGGCTCCTGAGAAAGCTGCTTCAAATGTTGCAGAGATGCCTTCTGACCTGATGGTGTGGGACAGGGCCAGGATCCCCAACACGAAGAAATACATGGACAGCAAGAGGTTGATGTACTCCTGGGAGAATATCTGAGGCAGAAATAAAAAAAGAAACAGGAAATCAGGGTTGCCAATGGCTATGATGAAACCAGAATCCCCGGTTCTCTTCTGGAGGTTGGTCTCACCCCTGTGGAACTTGGGAACGGTGGCAGGAAGAATCTAGACAGTGCTAGGGGCCTTCTAGCTTCTGTGGCTATAGAAAAAAAGGGAGGACCCTCAGGCCCCCAGACGCACACCCAAAGGAGTCTGTATATTTGTGCCTGGTGGCTCCATTATCTGGAGACAGGCAATATTTTGTCTGTGCTCAGAGTCCTGGCATGGAAACACAGGGGAGGACAGTCCTGAGTGCAGCGCCCCAAGGGAGCCATCTGAACCTCAGAATGCACTCTTCCACGTTTCCTTCTCCCTGCCCAAAAATCTAGGGGGCCCCCTACGGTGGCCACCAAGGCCCCAAGCACGCTACTTATTAAGTCGCTTGTGCCTTGTCCCAACGTCTACACGACGCTCTCCTGGAGGACTCTTCCCATGGTGATGGCTGGAAGCTGTGACAGCAGGCCCTGCCTTCTGCTTCTCAGTGTGTCAGGTGAAACTGGGAAATATTCTCTTTCATGGTACTCCAAAGCCACATGTCACTGCTGTGAATTCTGGACTCTGGGGAAGGCTCTGCCATCTCCCTCCCATTCATCCTTTCCTGAGTTTGTTTTCCTGAGGGTCTCCGGCTGGGAGGGGATGATATGCTGTGGTATGGGGCACAGGGGCACTGGGCACTCTCAAGGAGGCTGTTACAGAATCTGTTTAAATGCCTGTCTGCCCGCGTGGCTCCCCTGCTTAACGCCCCGCTTTCACAAGCTCCAGACCCACACCCTCACCTGGGCCTCAGCCCCTGCAGACCTTCTCAGCTGTGGCTCATAACACGCTGGGGCCACCCTGGCCTTTCTGTGGGGCCCTATCTGTACCACAGCCCCACCACAGACAGGTGGCCTGTGCACATGCTCTTCTGCCCGGGACATTCTCCTCTCCTCAGCTAGGCCACCCTTCTTTCTTCAACCCTCAGCTCAGAGCAGCTCTCCTTGATACAACCACCCCTCGTTAATTCAGCTCACAGGTACTGACTGCCTACTACGTGCACGGCATCACGTGAACCACCGAGGATACGGCAAGGAATAAGGCATAAAAGTCCCTGCCCTCATGGAGTTCATGTGCCAGTGAGAAAGACAGAATCTCAAAGGAAACAGATATGCAATATATTGTCAAGTGGTGACGGATGCTCAGAAAAAAAGCAAAGCAGGGCAAGGAGACAGAGAGAAGAGAGGAGAGCTGCTCTTTCAGACAGATGGCCAGTGAAAGCCTCTCAATGGGAAGATACTCACCTCATTCAGGTATAGAACCTAAACGAAGTAACGGAGCCACTGTGAGGGTATTCGAGGGGGAGAGCATCGGAGGCAGATGGAAGGGTGAGTGCAAAGGTCCTGAGGTGGGTATGTTGCTTACGTGTGTGGGGAACAGTCAAGGCCTGTGAGTCTAGAGCTGAGAGAGTAATGGGATGGTGTCAGGAGATGAAGCTGGGAAGGTTAAGAGGCAGGGAGACCCTACAGTGCCATGAGAAAAACTGGATTCCTCTGTGTGAGCCAGGTCGGTCTTGGAGGCTGAGGGCAGGGCTGTGATGTGACTGGATGGCCTGAGAAGTTCCCTGTGCTGCTGTGTGGAAGACAGACTCCACAGGGTGAGGGGGTAAGCAGACAGCCCCGTGAGGAGGGTAGTGCAGAGTCTGGCAGATAGAGGACGGTGCCTTGGCTGGAAGACAGGAAGAGCAGGGAGGACGGCTCCTGGGGTTTGCGGCTGGCCGAGCACTGAGGTAGATGGAGGTGCTGCTGTCAGACGTGCGGGTGGGGCAGGAGTAGAGGTCCATGCTAGCTGACGGGGGGGGGCTCTTCTTTGCTTTCCTGGTGCTACACGTTGCCTCTGCGGTACTTCCCAGGACTGTAACTTTACATGTATCGATGTGACTGACTGGTGTCCATCTCCACCAATTAACAAGAAACTCCTTGAGGGCAGGGATGGTCAGTCGTTTTTCTCACTCTGGGCCTTGTACACAGCAGGCACTCAGTAAATGTTCGCAGAATGAATGGATGAGCAAAGCAGTGACCTAGAACGTGACTACCATAAGAAAAAGCCCCATGAACATATCTCACAGGCATGTGGGCCATGTTTTATGAAGATGTGGTATACCCCTCAGTAGTGTTCCTTCCAAGTGGGCCCTTGGGAAAATGTCTCTGGCTACAACTTATAGCCACCAGTTGGCTTGGCTGTGTAGCCTATGAATTGTGCACCAAGTCTCAAGTCTGGCTTTCTTTGTGCTTTAGCTGCTAGAAACTCAGAGCCACACCCATATTAGACTCACTCTGACAAGAGTACATGTCTTTCAAGTGTAGAGCCTGGGTTCAGGGCATGGTCCTCACCCAAGGCTTCATTTTATCCTATTTTAATTTTCTCTTTACCCAAATTTCTTCCTTTACTTCTTTTACTTATGCTGCTGATTGCTTTGAGGCAGCGTATAATTTTTATTTATATGCTGCCTCAAAGCAGTTTTAAATGAAGTGGGATAAGGTAAATTTTAGGATGTTGAGAAATGCCCCCCCTCCCCGGCAGGGGAGAGGAGGAAAGGGGCTGAGGGATACTGCCGTTCGGCAAACCAATTAACAACAAGCCGCCAGCCTGGAGTTTTGCAGCAATCTGTTGGCTGTGTTGTCCAGGCAGTCGCTTCTCAAAAATCTCAGTGTGAACCCTCTAGAGACATGGGCAAGAGCTATGCTTTGTCCTCTGGCACAAGGCAGGCTGGGGCTTACCCGCCTGGAGAGGGAAACAGGCTGAGCATCCAGTGACTTAAAGAAAAATGCTCATACCCTCCACTGCCAGAAATTTCTTTCTGAGGGAACCTAGCTAAAGGAGAGAATCCTAACTACTAAAAATGTTAGAAGGTCTTGAGGCAAGGAAGGGCCTGGGTACATATCACTGGCACTCAGCACAGCAGAGACCTGAGAAATACCTGCCAAAAGCCAAGTTGGAGGCAATGGGCTAGATGTACAGACAGCCTCAGAGAGATCTCAAAAGTACAGGGGAGAGAAAAAGCAAACAGAGGGAGATGTACTGCACTCTATTTATGGAAGCTGGACTCTCAATAGACACAGATATACTGACACCATACGTTTTATAAGGAGACACACATCTGAAGACAAAGCAAACGCATCAGAGCAGGTGCTTCTTGTGGAGAGGGAAATGAAGGTGGGAAATGGAGGCGGGCACTAGGGGTGAAGGGGGAGCCTGGCATGGACTGATGATGGTGTGCTATGAACCAAAGCATGGAATAAATTCAACTCTTCACCCAAGGTCCAAGGGAAAAAAAATCAGTGAATACCTAATGTTATTTGATGCACTCTTATTTGTAAGAGTAAAAACCGAGATGACTTTTTCTGTTTAAAGTGAGGGGGATGCTGGAGGTGAGCTGTGGTGAATCTGGCCTGGGGGGGCATTCTGAAACCACTGAGGAAAAAAAAAGCGTAGTTCTGATCCAACAACGAGGGGGCGATGGGACAGGAAACGGATGTAAAAATTACATTGTTGACTCACTCACAGACTGGTAAAGATAAGGAATTTTGATGCTACTCAATGCTGGTGAGAGTATAGGGGAGCCGGCACACTCCTAACTATCAGGGGAAATGTAAATGGGTGCCATCTTTTGTGGGGATTTGGTACTGTCTGTTCAACTTACAAATGCAGATGTTACGTGACTGGGTCCTCCTACTGCAGAAATACTTGACAGTACGTGCCCAGTGCCCACAGCAGCACTGCTGCGATATCCCAGCACTAGACATCCCTCAGGGGCACAGCCATAAAACAGAGCCACGGGGAGGTGTTAAGAAGAATAAGGTAGATGTGACTGTGTTGATAAGAAAAAGATCTCTACAGTAAAAATCCTGTATCTCATACATATATCTGTTTTTATATTTTAACAAAAATGTAGATCTATGCGTAAGATTCACAAGAAACTATACTGGGGAGAAGATTATGGCTCATTTCCACCTTCCCGTAGATTGAAAACATTTTTTTCGCCATCTACCTGTGTTTTTAACATGTGAATTAAAAGTCGTCCTCGAGGGCTTTTCAGCGACCAGGGAAAAAGCACTTGGGAGGCAAGACTGCAAAAACAAGACACAACACTACGGCTGGGGTAGGGTTAGGGTTCCGTGAAAAGCATGCTTACTAAAAGCCTGAAAGGAGACACGCCCAAACGTTAATAGTGATCGTTACCTCTGTATATGTTTCCCCCACTAAGTTTTCTGCATATCTTACTTTCATAATCAGAAAACAGTACGTGTTATATTAAAAAAAAGAAAAGAAAGAAAAGCTTCAGAAGAGTTTGCAGTAACATGAGAGAATGCTTATGATGTTATTAATGGGGAGTGAAAGCGCAGCTACAGAACTGAGTACGCCACGTGGCCACAGCTACGGAGAAACCATGCACCGGGAAAACAGCGCAAGGACACACCTCCAAAGGGAATCTGTGATTGTCTCTGGTAGTGGGGTTTTGGATGACTGCTGTTTTCCCCTTTTTACTTTTCTGTGTTTTCCACGTTTTCAACACTGAGCCTGTGTAACTTTTATTGGGAAAATAAACCTCGGTAAATTAAAAAAAAAAAAAAAGGCAATTAGTATGGTAGAGGCGCATCGGAGACCCAAGCTATACCCCGTTCCCAGCATAAACAGTACAATGCAACCAAAATGGTATCACGAAAAAAAAACCCAAAAAAGCCACGCAGAGAAAAGAAATAATGACTATGGGAAAGAGTCCTAAACGCCATCCATGGTTATCTCTGTGTAGTCGGTCTAGAGGTGAATTATTAGGACTTTTTTTTTCTCCCTTGCTCTTTATTTTCTACAAATGAACATGCATATCTCCTGTGATGGGAAAAACAAAACAAAACAAAAGTTATTTAAACCAAATGACACAACAGGTGGCAAAGGACTTACTTTGAAAAAGAGATAGAGCCCCAAGAGCGTGCAGCTGGCGATGATGGGGAACCGGGCGGCGTCCCGGCTGGTGATAGTCTCGGGCATGTCTGAGGCGTTCTAGAGCAGACAAGAGAGGTGCCTGTGAGTATGGGGTGCAGTTCTGGCCTCTGGGGCCCAGAGCTCATTCATCTCCCCCTCCACCACTTCCCGACCCCAGGCTTTGGCGACACGGTTCCCTCTGCCCATGCTGGGGCAAGATGCTCCACCCCACTGTTTTGCCACTGGGGCGATCTGGAACCTGACAGTGCACATGGGGCATAATCTGGGGAGAAGAGCGATGGCAGAGGCAGTTACGGCATGTAATAACCAAGAGAAAACCCTGGAAACTGTGACAATAGAGTAGTCCTAGGCCTCATGAGAACTATTCCCAGTCTCCTTATGGATTAGCTACCAGGTAAACATGATGAATTTGTTATCCAATAGGTATGAGTAGAAATAAACCAACAACAGATAAAACTGACAGCAAATGAAACTGTACGTGGGAAGATGCCAACTGCAAGGAGAAGCAAATCTTGACAAAACTTACACTTAAGAAATCTGACTGGGAAAACTGAATCTGGTTAAGAGTAAAAGCCACAATTAAACATACAATGGCAGATGCTATAGTTGGCGACAATGTGCTTTGGGTAAAGACATGACAGAGGATAAATATTTACACGAAAAAACCTGAATGTAGTCAAAATAATTTCAGTACTTTAAACAAGGAAAAACCTGAGAGTGTAGCAACAGCACACCATAGGGATTTTATCAACTTCACAGAATTCCTGCCAGAAATCTTTCTAATGAGAATCCATCAATGGTAGCATAATTCTGGTTTAAATTTATATTAAAAAACAAAGCTTTCAACTTTCAAGTTCAGCATGTTCTCCTCATGCCCTCTCTGCTAGCAGACTCCTCAGTCAAGGACCTGGCCAATGTCACTGCCATGAAGCATCCCCAGATTTCCCACTGGGCTAAGCCTACTCTCTCACTGCAATTCCCCCTGCATTTTATGCGTCTATTCTATTTTATATGCTAGCTACCAGAGCTCCTGGATGAGACTTCTGCTAAAGTCAAAGTGAAGTGCTCTCCACAGGCTCATCACAATGCCTGAGATTCCACCATCACCACGTCCATCCTGTGAATAAGGTACCAGCACCCCTGGGACAGGGGATCATGTTCAGCTGCAGAGTCTCATTAATTTTTTTGGCTCACAGCTGCCTCTTAAAAACCAACAGGACAAAACATGCTAAAGGGGAGGCTGCCTGCAGAGGGCAAATTTCGGGTCAGGCGGACCTTCTGCTCAATGATGGAAGGAAAATTGCAGAAAGGGAAGGAGATGGGGGCAGAGAGTAGTAAGCCCATGGAATAGTCACGAAATGGAGCTGGGCTGGGGAGCTGGGATATGCACACACTGTTGGTTTTAGTACAAACTGGTCCAGCCTTTTGGGGAGGGCAATTCAGCAGGTACATCAAATTGTAATTTGCACGTGCCCAAGAACACAGAGAAGGTTCACAGAGCAGGAACCATAAAAAGCTCTTATTCACAGGAAAAAATGTTCATCCTCACTCTTTTTTTCCTTTTCATCCTCACTTTTTAATAAGAGAAGCTCCAGTTGAAGTACACTGAGATTCCAGTTTTCATCTATCAGAATGGCTGGAGAAGACTGAGCTGGTGAGGCTGTGGGGAAACAGGTGCTGACCCTTGGTACCTTCAGGAGGGTAAACTGGTCTTCCTGTAGAGAGCACTCTGACAGTATTTGTCAAAATCACAAGTGCAGTGACCAAGCAATTCCACTTTAGGGAATTTTTCCTACAGATAAAATCCACACATGTGCAAATGATACATGTAAAGTATAATCAAGGTATTCAGTGCTCTATTAATGGCTTGCTGGGTGACTGAGGCAAATCCTTGGCTCTCTGAGTCTCACTTTACTCATCTGTCAAACAGGATCACAATCTCTAGGCTTTCCTTACCTCTAAAAGGGCCAAGAGACTTCAACCAAATGAGATACGGGATGTGAAAGAGCCTGGCAAACGGTAAAGTACCGCGACTGTATGAGGAGCTGGGACTGTCAGGGAGAGGGGAGTGGGGAGGCACTTCACCAAACCCCAACATATGCCTGACTGAGGTGGCTGGAAGGGACACCCTCCTTTCTGGAGCATCCAGGGGCAGCTCTGCTGGGAGGAAGGGGTGGGGCAGGTGAGCAGTACTGACACACAGAGGCAGGGTTCTCTCCCTCCTTCCCCAGCCCTGGGTGTCTGCTTTGGGCAGCAGTGTGCTGTGGGGCTGGGGAAAACATCTCCACCCCTCTGTGCACCTCCACAAACTCAATATATGTCCCGTGTAGCAAGAGCGGAGGCACAAACATAAATCAGACAGCTGTTAATCTCAGAGTCCATAGGCAGGCAGGCCAAGACCCTGACACGTAAGCAGAATATCACGATATAGCGTGACCCGTGACAAAACAAGACACATACTGCTGCGGTACCCAATACGAGTGCCAAATGGGCGGGAGATGGCCCTGATGTCAGAAAGCCCAGCCCGACTTCCAGCTCTGCCTCTTCCCAGATGTGGGGCCCGGGAATGTTTTCTCTCTCTCAGAGCCTCCATCTCCTCAGCTGTACGATGAATTTCAGGATTCTATGACTTTTTTTTTTTTTTGAAGATTTTATTTATTTGAAAGAGAGAGTACACATGCACAAGCAGGGGCGGGGGAGGGAGAGGCAGAGGGTGAGGGAGCAGCAGACTTACTGCTAGGTGGGAGCCTGACGTGGGGCTTGATCCCAAGACCCTGAGGTCATGACCTGAGCTGAAGACAGATGCTTAACCAACTGAGCCACCCAGGCGTCCCAGGATTCTATGACTTTTGCATTGGAAATACTTAGTGTTGTGCCTCGAGCTGTCACACAAGCTGTCTAGACTCTTTTTTTTTTTAAAGATTTATTTGAGAGAGAGAATGAGAGATAGCACGAGAGGGAAGAGGGTCAGAGGGAGAAGGAGACTCCCTGCTGAGCAGGGAGCCCGATGCGGGACTCGATCCCGGGACTCCAGGATCATGACCTGAGCCGAAGGCAGTCGCTTAACCAACTGAGCCACCCAGGAGCCCTAGACGCTTATTATAACAGTAGTAGTACATATTAGGGAATCACAAGAAAGCAGACAGCACTTAGGCAAAGCCTTGAAGGTTAAGCACAGGTCCTGGTAGGGGGTAGGAGCCAGAAACACACTCAGTTGAGGAATTTGCTCTGTGTACAAGGAAGGGAAACATGAGGTAGAGGGACCTGCAGGTGCAGAGCACATGGGACTCACCTACAAACCAATGTTATGGCTCATTTCCACATATTCCTTTTATTTTAGCCCTGTGTCCTAGGTGGGAAAAGGCTTAAAATTACTTGATGACAAGCCAACGTTGGAGACATGTCCCACTACACAGAGGGCTCTGGTCTCCTCCGTGGATGACTGTGTAAATATCCATGCTGCAATGCTGAGTCAGAATGGGAGACTGGAAATCTGACAGTTATAGTAATAAGAACAACATTTACGAAGAGCGTTCTATGTGCCAAGCCCTGTTCTGGGTGTTATACGTGATTTCATCCTCTACGAAGCAGCTATTTTTAAGAGCTCCATTTTACAGATGAGGAAACTGAGGCTCAGGGAGGTGAAGTAACTTGCTTAAGGTCACACAGCTGGTGAGTGGTGGAGTCAGGATTCAAATGGAGGCAGTCTGGTTCCAGTGTCCCAACTCTTAGCCACTACTTCCTAGATGACCTCTACCTTTCCTACCTGGAAATTTCTGCTGGCAAGTTGTGACAAGATGCTCAGGGAGCCTGTGACAATGAAACAGTTAACCTTTGGGGCACCTGGGTGACTCATTTGATTAAGCATCCAACTCTTGACTTCGGCTCAGGTCATGATCTCAAGGTTGTGAGAGCCCATGTCGGGCTCTACACTGGGCATGGAGCCTCTTAAGAGTCTCTCTCTCTCTCTCTTGCTCTCGCTCTGCTCCTCCCCCCACAAAACAAATCCAAAACAGTTAACTCTTGTTGTTACAAAAATACAAAAAGCTATTAGGATTCTCTACCAATTCAATGTGGATTTTTTTTAAAAGCATTTTTAAAAAAAATTTTATTTATTCATTTGAGACACAGAGATACAGAGAAAGAGAGAGAACATGAGCAGGGGGAGAGGCAGAGGGAGACGAAGAAGCAGGCTCCCTGCTGAGCCAGGAGCCCGATGCGGGGCTCGATCCCAGCACCCTGGGATCATGACCTGAACGGAAGGCAGATGCTTAACCATCTGAGCCACCCAGGTGCCCCTCAGTGTGGATTTTCAAACTGGATGCTCTTAGGCAAATGCAATAGCTCCCAAAACACAAAACATAATCAGAGTGTGTGTGTGTGTGTGTGTGTGTGTGAGAAGCTGACACAAATAGCAGAAATAAATTTAGCTTCCAGTGACATTCTGGACGTTCAGTTATCAGGGCGGAAGCAAAAGCAGCAAGGGCAGACAGACGCCCGGCCTCAAGTCATTGGCTCGGCCCGAGCTCTGGGAGGGCTGCTTCCAGGCCATGCCCTAGAAATGATCTGGGACTTGTGGACCATTCTATTACTCTGCCACCCCAGCTGGAGACCCCAGGGTCTCCTCTTCTTTCTACCACATTCACTCACTCACCTACCTCACCATGACTCTGCTCCCTATGCATTTCTCGAACTCACCCTCCCACTCCAATCCGGGGCCCCACTGCAGTCTTCACCGCGACCACCTCACCAGCCTCCCTCCCGCCCATCACTGACTCTGCCAGGAGCTCTTTCTGAAGCCTAGACCTGACTGTATCACACACCTGGCTCAGAAAGCCCTGGAGGCTGGACTATTGCGCAGCTATTACACCAGAATTGAGGTCACTGCTAGTGGGGGTATAAACTTACACAACCTCTAGGGTGCATAATTTGGTAAGATCCGTCTATGTCAAATATGCACATAGCCTTTGACCCAGCAAATCAATTTAAAAAAAAAAAAAATCCTACACATATAGACAAATGTGAAGTAACAAACATGTAAGGACATTAATTTCAGCATGGTTTGTAAAAGACTGACACCCGTCTAAACAACCTGTGGAGGACTCTAAATCAGAGGTTCTCACATGAGCACAGAGAAAAATTGTCAGGAGGGCTTGTGAAAACAGACTGCCAGGTCCACCTTGAGTTTCTAATTCAGAATCTGCATTTCTTTTTTTTTTTTTAAGAGTTTATTTATTTATTTGACAGAGAGAGACACAGAGGAGAGGGAACACAAGCAGGGGGAGTGGGAGAGGGAGAAGCAGGCTTTCCGCTGAGCAGGGAGCTGATGTGGGGCTCGATCCCAGGATCCTGGGATCATGACCTGAGCCGAAGGCAGACGACTAACGACGGAGCCACCCAGGCGCCCAGAATCTGCATTTTTTTTTAAAAGATTTTATTTATTACTTGACAGAGAGACACAGCGAGAGAGGGAACACAAGCAGGGGGAGTGGGAGAGGGAGAAGCAGGTTTCCCGCTGAGCAGGGAGCCCGATGTGGGGCTCGATCCCAGGACCCTGGGATCATGACCTGAGCCGAAGGCAGATGCCTAACGACTGAGCCACCCAGGCACCCCCAGAATCTGCATTTCTAACAAGTTCCCAGGTGAGGCTATTGCTGCTGCTGCTGGTCCAGCAATCACACTTTGAGAACCAGTGCTCTAAACAAACTGTGGGATACCGGTAGGATACCATGCAGCTGTCACAGAAGAACAAGACTGCTCCATATGTACTGATGTATTTGATCTCCAACATATATTTGGTGAAAAAAGCAAGGTGCAAAAAAGTGTATTTATAACAAAATATCAGTTATACTACAAAAACAGGGAGAAAGCATATGCTTATTTATTTGTAAAGGCACAGAATTTCTTGGATGGATATCCAAGAAACAGGGGCTGCCTCTGGGGAGGGAAACTGGGTAGCTGGGTAGGACAGAGGCGTTCACGATGCCCTCTGCACCTTTGGAATTCTATACCACAGGCATGCATTACTTACCCTCCCCGCCATAAAATAATGAGGCAGATCTGCAGGTACTGACAGGAAAATGACCAAGACACAGTGTTAAAGAAAAAAAAATAATCAAATTGCAAAGCAGTATGTACTGTAAAATCCCACTGTTATAAAAGTAAATTTACATTTGTGTATACACACAGGCACACACGTTTATATATACAAAGAAAAAATTCTGGAAGGTTACAAACCAAAGAGCTACCTGGGTTCCTTCAAGGAGTGGTACTGAGGAGGCTTTTCCTTTATACTTCTGCATGGCTTGGATTTTTTTTTTTACAGGTGCAAGTGTATGGTCATTTTGTAACTATGAAGATGAACTACTGTGTTGCCTTCAGGATTCTGTCATGCAGAAATGCTGCAGGCTGCCTGAACATCTTGTTATGGCCTCCAAGGCCCTGCCCCGGGGCTCACATCACACTACTCGCTGCCTCCCTGAGTGCACCCCGCAGTGCCATGCCTCCCTCTCTCCTGTTCTGCCTGAACTTTCGCCCATCCATGCAAAGGCAGCTGCGGCCTCCTCTGGAAGGCATATCAGGATTCGGTTTAGTTGACTGCTCACACATCTGTTTCTCCGTGGGGCACTTAGCTCTGGGAGGGCAGGGCCTGGCCTTCGTTGTCCCAGCATCCCTGGTACCCAGCCCAGGGTCTGGCACAGAGCAGAAGCCCAGTCCAGCTGGCTGAGGGGCTCCTCTGAGTTTACAGGCCAAGGGCCTTTGAAGTAACCTGATCCCCAGCTATTACTTGGGCTGGGATTTGCTCCCTTCTGGGAACACAGGTCTCGGACAGGGATGGGCACCCCTCTAAGACTGTTCCTCCCATGGCTACTTCTTCCCAACACACTCCTGGATGCTCACCTTCTTCTCCCCATGATTTCACAATTTGCTCTGCCTGTTATGGACAACTTGGCTCCAGGGAGAATTCTGTCCCCACATGCCCTCTCTCAGCTGGCTTTAAGGTCTAACACTGGTGGGAAATCAAAACTCCTGGGCCCCCACACTAACTTTTCTCTCTCCTTGCCACATGACCAGGGAAACATGACTCAGGGTAGAAAAAGGGAGTTGTTTGTTTTTTCCCTAGGCCCAAATGCCACTTGTGTGGGTCTATAGAGTCACCTGTATCAAGGACAGCCCTGGACTAGGTCTAGCAACACCTAGTTGTGCCCCTTACTGGCAGAGGGATTGTAAGCAGTCATTTCTTTGACCCTGTTTCTTTCTCTGTACGACAGGAAAATAAAACTGGTTCCATCTGTAACATTCAGTTACTGGGAGAAGCAAAGACGGTGAAGGCTTTGCAAATTTCAGAATAGCCTGGTTATTGGTGGTGGGTCTGGCCATCTGCAATTTCATGCAACCTGCAGGAGATGGTGGGGGTGGTATTTAGAGGCTACGGTGGATTGAAAGCTCTCTTCTATGCATACCCTCTGTTCCTGCCACACCAGACCTTCTGCTAACTCCTAAACTGTCTTTTTTCTTTTAAGATTCATTTATTTGAGAAAGAGAAAAAGTGCACGAGTATGAGTGGGAGGAGCAGAGAGGGAGAGAATCCCAATCAGACTCCATACTCAGTGCAAAGCTGGATGCAGGGCTCGATCTCACAATCCCGAGATCACGTGATGAAACCAAAAGTCAGATGCTTAACCGACTGTGCCATCCAGGCGCCCCTCTCCTAAACTGTCTCGTACCGCTGCTTACCTGGTTTCCTCTGCCTGGAATGTCTTCTGGCTGAAATTCTACCTCTGCATCAAGGCTCAAGCCCATCTCCAGCACAAAGCCTCTCTGCCCTTCCTCAGGTGTTGAGGTGCCTCAAACTTTCTCCCTGAACCCCACAGCACTACTGTACTGCAATCACATAGCTAGTTATTCCTCCTCTGTCCAGGCACCTAAAGTCCTTGGTGACAGGGCTCTGACCCACTCATTTTTGCATCCTCCCTCACCCCCCTGGTCAACAGTGGAGGTTCAGGAAATTCTGTTGTTGGTAAAATGCTTTCTTAAGAGGCTAGTGATCCTGGTGTAGAAGACATCAAGGAGAATTACTCAGTTTTAGGAGCCCCTCAGATCAAGCTGCCCAGTTCATGCCATGGTATTTTTACCTCCTTTGCCCTAGTCTATTTCAGAACCTTCCCCTGCACCAAGTGTTTGCCAAAAAGGGATGGCAGGGAAGTTGAAGGCCACCTGAACTCTGCCTAGAAAGGCAAATAGGGCCATCTAAGCCCTGCCTATTTCCCTTTGTGGCTGCCCATAGAAGGAGCCAACAGAGAGTTCTCTGATCTTGGGTAAAGAAGGTGGCAGACCTCAAGTGGGGTAATGTTTTGAAAACCCGTACTCGAGCAGTTTCAAAAGTGGCAGCTGCTTTGTGGACCTGCCCTCTTTGAGTAAGACGGCTTCCGCCTAAGTTCAACTTCAGGTTTGGGTGGGGGAGGAGCTACAGATTAGAAGGGCAGAGGGTGCCAGGAAGTGAGAAACCACTGGTGCAAGGGGCTGGAGAGGGCTTAATAGGAAAGAAGACGGAGGGTAGGGGGAGATGATGGGGTTCCTCCTAAGTGTCCATCGGGACATATGTTGAGGAAGGTCAGGAATGGGTCTGGCCTGCTCTCCTAAGAGAGGCCAACAGCAGCTCAGCTGCTCAGCAGGTAAGTCCAATTTGGTGGAGGGCCTGTCTTAGGGAGCACAGGGAGAAAAGCTACTTTGAGGTAGGGTTGGGGTCTGGGGTGGGAACAGGGTGAGGAGTTGGCAACAGGGCCTGGGCTCAGGCTAGGACAGGTCCACGACTGGGAGTGTCTACCAGCCAGGGAGGGCAAACCAGCAAAAGAAGGAGTCTATGCTTGCTTAAAAAGAGAGGCACTATGGTGCCAGATTCTGAGGGACTGGCTGAGTGAAACTGGTCTGAGAAGTGAAGCAAAGAACTGGCGCCTGAACTGGGGCTATATCCTTGGATTAATTTTTTTGAGGTGGCGCAAGGGCCTGTTCTGGAGGTTCTAGAAGAGCACACTACGGGTCACAGATTCCAGTTAGACATGTGTCACAGTTTCAGAATGGGTCTGGATGCTAGAATTTGCCCTAGGGTGGATGAGGCAGGGTTCCCAACGGAGGAATGACAGGGGATTGTCAGGACAATTCAGTTGTCAGGACCAGCGCCCCATCAGGTACAGATGGGGGCTGACCCGGAGCCCAGGAAGAGGTGGCCCATATGGGATGAGCAGCCAGAGCAGAGGGTGGGGCCGGTCTGGCTGGGTCCAGTAGGCTCAGAACAATACACTGCCCGAATCGCAACGTGAGGCTGACAGTGTTTGCAGCATGATGCACAGAGAGAACAATGCATCAGGTTCCGAGTGGGGATAGAAGCCGGCCCCTATAAGAGAAGGTGTCAGATCCCAGAGCACCTAAGGCCAGCTCCCGGATGTGGGCTCGGGGTGGGGAAGCGGTGGTGATCCCTGCCGGGAAGGGTCAGCGTCTGGGGAGAGGAGGTGTCAGCGCGGGCGGGAGGAGGGTCCTCGTCAGTCACGTCCCGGGTGGGAGGTGGGAAGCGCGCGCGGTTTTGCCTCCGACCCTACCTTGCCGCGGGCGCAGCGCACCGAGCGCAGGGCGCCGAAGAAGATGGGCAGCAGCGCCATGAGCAGGAGGCTGCCGTAGGCCAGCGCGATGCCCTCGGGCGTGGAAGGCGGCCGCGTCGTGCCGTTGGCTGCGCCGCCTGCCTCGGCGCTGCCGTTGTGCGGGTCGCTGAGGGCCGAGTCCATGGCGACGCTGCGCTCCGGGTCCGACTCCAGCTCCCGCCGCCGCAGCAGAGACACAAGACGGGAAGACGGGCGCTGCGGGAAAAGCCACGTTCCCTTAAAGAAACAGGAAGTGACGTGCTGCCCTCGCCGGTCCGCGCCGCGCACGCGTGCGCGTTCACGTCTCCCCGCCCGCGCGCCCTCTAACGGTAGCGGAGGGCCGGGCGACCAGTTGCTAAGCAACTCGTGATTGGTCGGGAAAGGAACACTGAACCACTGTGCTGGGCATCCATCCCGAGGGAGACCTGAGGATCCCATGCGCCAGTCCCAGCCGACTTCCTCAATCCCAGGCTGTTCCGCTCCCCCACAAGTCCTCATCATGATAACTAAGAGAAAACTCTTAGCATGCTCTCCAGGAACCCCAGGAAGTAAGCCAACCTGAAACCAGGAAAGGAAGATCCATTCCCCTCCAATGTCCCTTTAGTACACGGTAGTGAAAAAGCTTAACTATGTCATCTGGAAAAGGAGAAATACTTAGAAGGCCCAACTCCATTAGTACAGAGCAGGCAAAAAGACTGGATTTAGAGCTGAGAAGCAATAAGTTGATGAATGACACAGACGGTATAAAATCACATAGCCTGGTCCAAGCTTGACAGGTGGTGAGGTGGGGTTGGAGCATGGGGTTCATGGTGAAGGCAGACAAAGGTAAGGACTCAGACTACAAGAGTTTTTTTGTTTTGTTTGTATTTGTTTTTAGAGGGCGGGGACAGAGGGAGAGGGAGAGTGAGAATCTTAAGCAGGCTCCACACCCAGCAAGGAGCCCCAGGCGGGCCTCCATGCAGCGCTCGATCTCACAACCCTGAGATCATGACCTGAGCTGAAATCAAGAGTCGACTCGCTTAACCGACTGAGCCCAGGTGCCCCAGACTATAAGAGTTTGAATAATAGGGTTGTTTTGGGGCACCTGGGTGGCTCTGTCGGTTAAGTGTCTGACTCTTGATCTCAGCTCAGGTCTCAGTCTCAGGATTGTGAGTTCAAGCCCTGCATTGAGCTCCACGGTGGGTGTTGAGCCTACATTAAAAAAAAAAAAAAAAAAAAAAAAGGGTTGTTTGCCTAGTATGTGCCAGGCACTGAACTAGTAACGTGTGCGTGTGTGTGTGTGTGTGTGTGTGTGTGTGTGTGTGTTATTTCCATAACACTAGTAAGAGATGATTGGTTCCATTTTACAGTTGAGGAAACTGAGCCTCACAGAGGTAAGCTAAACTAGCCAGGCCAGGTGACACAGCCAGAAGTGGAACAGGAGACTCTTGAACTCAGGTCTGTGGGACTCCAAAGCCTTTGCTCTTTGCAACATTCCAGCTACACAGGAGGCTAAGGAGTTTGGACCAGAATAACTTAGTTCTGGGCAGATGGTGTACAGTTTCAGGCTGTGTTTTTCAATAAGCCGAACATGACCTGAATGGATGGATGAAGGCAGTGTGCCTGATGAATTCATCCATCAGTAATTCAGGCCACAGGATTTGCCCAGCAGCCAGGTTTCATGGCTCTATGCCTCCTCATCTGAGAGTACATGATTGGAAATCGGAGACACTTCTGCTTCCCCCTAGGCTGAGCATTTGATTTAGTGTGTTCTAGGGCAGATCTGGCCATCTCTCTTTACACTCCAGAGTGGGAGATTGTGAATATGACCCAGGGAACTAAGGGGGTGACCCACGTTCAGAAAGATCCTGTCAAGGCTTCTGGAGGGTTGGATTTCTGGCTTGGAGCAGACCTGTCTTGATATTGTCTGAAAACAGGGATGAGACAGTCTGCAGGTGGGTGCCCTGAGGCTTTATCTGCTGAAGCCTCCTATATGGGGTTACTTTCCCAGAGGATATCTGAACTGGAGGTCAAGAACAGAGCTTGTTTAGAGCCTGGGATAGTTAAATTACCAAAAATTTGTTCCAGAGAAGGATGCGGCCCCATTCTCCTGTTCACTTGTTCCTGTATCCAGTCCCTGTGAATGGATTTCAGATTTTCCAACTTTTTTCTCATATATGCTCACACACACACTCACCCATACTTACACATACTATTAAATGTTTAATTACTTCTGAAAATAAAAAGCAAAGATCATGAATGGATGCTGAAACTGTTGTAAGGTTGAGGAACAGGATATCCATACAGTCTTAGAGCGTCACCCCACAGATTACCTACTAATTACAAAAGGATGAAGTTTCCTTTACGATGGGGTGGCAAAATGGGATTGGATGAGTTAAAATGACAGGCTGCGCTGTGATGTGCTGGACACATCACCTGTGCAGTCTTCTTGCAAAACATGTTTGACCCACATCTACTCAGGAAGGAACATTAGAAAAAGTCAGAAAAGATACAGACCGTGGAATATTCTACAAGACAGCTAGCCTGGTCTCTTCAAAAATGTGAGCGCCGTGAAAAAAAGCAACCCGAAAACTCCATGGGGATTGTTACCGATGAAAGGAGACAAGTGTAAAGTACCATCTGTGATTGGATTCTGGGTCACAACCTTTTTAAATAGGCTGTAAAGAAAATTTTCAGATGAATGGGGAAATTTGAATATGGATTGTTTGGGCTTGATTGTATTGTGACTGTAGGACCTTGCTAATAAAGGTGTGGTTCGCCCCATCAGCATCACCTGGGAGCCTGGAAGCAACGCAGAATCTCCGCTCCACCCCGGAGCTACTGGATCTCCAGCTGATCCACATGCACACTTAGTCTGAGACATGCTGGTGTAGGAGAAGCTCCTTATTCGAGGGTGGTACATGTCTGCCTCAGGGCCCAGGTAACCTCATGTTCTTGATCATTGTGAGAGAATGGGCCGGCAAGCAGTAAAACTGTATAAATATTTACTGTTCTTATTATCTGCCAAGACCACAGAGCCCTCACATGTATGTGCTCAACAACTGTTTGTATATGAATGAACGAATATATTGTTCTCTCCACCTAACGTTCACTTTCTCACCCCACAATCCGTCAGAGCTTGAGTCGAATGTCAGCTCTGTGTCGGGTTCCAATGTCGGGGAACCCCAAGGAACCCCTATATTTCTAGCAGGGTGTGGCGGGCATGAGTGCCCCAGGGATTTTACTAAGATCAAAGAAACAGGGAGAGGGCGCCTGGGTGGCTCAGTCGGTTAAGCAAACTGCCTTCGGCTCAGGTCATGATCCTGGAGTCCCGGGATCGAGTCCCACATCGGGCTCCCTGCTCAGCGGGGAGTCTGCTTCTCCCTCTGACCCTCTTCCCTCTCGTTTTCTCTATCTCTCATTCTCTCTCGCTCGAATAAATAAATAAATAAAATCTTAAAAAAGAAAAAGAAACAGGGAGAAACACTTTTGGTGCCTCCATACCACCTTGCCCTAGGGCTGGAATCTTCTTTTGGGAAAATCTTTTTGGAGGCCTAAACTGCTCATGTGAATTATTTTCAGCTCCACCATCCTAGAGAAATTCTCACACATGTCTATGAGGGGACATATCCAAGGATTTCCAGCAGTGTTTGTTATTTTTCTGGGTAGCAGGAAGTGGGAGCAAACCCAGGTGTGTGTCGCTGGGAAAAGGACTGACAAGATGTGTTGGATGTATACTCTGGGATGCTGGACAGCAGCAAGAAGCAACAATCTCTGAGCACGCTCAGCTGGGGTGATGCTGCCTCCTGGTTTGGGGAGGACAGTTAGGCTATATGCCCTTTGCCCTGGCCTGATTATTAATAGAATCCTTTGCACTCTCAAAAGGGTACCAGTTGGCATGATAATGTTTGGTCACTTTCATGGGTCAAGTAGAAGCAGAGCCTGAGATGAGGATTCTTGTTTAAGTGATTCTGAGGGGAAGTGTTCTTGGGAGGAAGGGTATGAGGGCATGCGGGCAATAAAAGGCTAAGTGAGGAGCAGGTCTTGGCCAGAGACTCCTTTCACTGTGACCCCAAGGAGAGCTCTGGGGCACAGACCACACCACAGAATTGTTCCTGCTTTGGGACCAGGCCTCCTGTACCCTGTACCTGTCAGTCACTGGCCACAGTGTAGGAGTCCAGGGCTGAGGTACCCTGGCTAGCTGGCTCCTGTGTGACCAAGGGCAATTCTTCAGAGAAGGTGGCCGTTGTGAGCGGCTTTCGGTCAACACTCTCAACAGCTGGGGGTTGGGCCACTATGTCTGGTAAAGAGGATGTGGGTGGGGCACCAAATGCCTTCCTTATAATCCCCCTAACCTTCAACAACATGTATAGAACTCTAAAATGTGGAACTGAGCATTAAGAAATGTGTGATATGATTGCATAAAAGTAAGTATTGCATAGCAACATTGAAAATCTAACAAGAATATTTACATATTAAAGAATATACATCAAGCCTATTAGAATGGTTCCCTATAGAGGGATGGGAATGAGAGTGGGAACTGGGGATTAAAACAACAACAGGGGCACCTGGCTGGCTTAGTCGGTAGAGTACGCAACTCTTGATCGCGGGGCCATGAGTTCGAGCCCCATGTTGGGTGCGGAGATTACTAAAAATAAATAAACTTTAAACAACAACAGCAACAAAATGTGTGTAAATAAAATAAAACAGGGGCTTTGCCAGAAAATGGTGAAGATAGTCTGCCCTGAAGGAATGAGGGCGATGAACCCATCCCTCTGCTTCTGAGATTCAAAAAAGAAAATACATGGGGCACCTGACTGCCTCAGCTGGTAGAGCATGTGACTCTTGATCTCTGGGTCGTGAGTTCAAGCCCCACGTTGGGCATGGAGCCCACTGAAAAGAGAGAGAGAAAAAAAAGAAAATACAAGATCTTTGAAGACTTTAAGAAAAAACTGTCATGTCAGAGTTCTCTTTGTTCTTTGTTGGGTTGGGGACAGAGGCTGGATTTGCAAAAGGAATGACAAGTGCCCTTCTGACAGTGGGTCGGGTTCTTTGGTTTACAAGAGCTAAAGGCCTGGCTGGAAGCACTTTGGGCAAAGGTGGGACTGTTTGGCTCTTGAACTCCAAGGAAATTGTAAGTAACTGAACCACTGGACTGCTGGACAGGACCCGCAGGGACAGAGCTGGGCCTCAGTTACCTCCAGCAACCAGGGCATCCATGCTGCTGAATTCTCTCTGCTCGTCTCTGCGTACTGTCTTTATT